TGGTTGTTGTCATTTTTTCCCCTGTATTTTGTTGAGGTAAAATTCACATAACATAAAAGTAACCTTTTTTTTTAGTTTAAAGTATAGAGTTCAATGGCATTTGGTACACTCACAATGTTGGACAATCTTACTTCTATCTAGTCCCAAAACATTTTCATCACCTCAAAAGGAAACCCTCTACCCCTTAAGCAGTCACTCCCATTCCCCACTTCCCTCAACTCCTGGCAACCACTAATGTGTTTCTTGTGTCTATGGATTTACCTATTCCAGAGTATCATATAAATGGAAACATATACTATGTGGCCTTTTGTGTCTGGCTTCTTTCACTTAGCATCATGTTTTTGAGGTTCAGCCACATTGTAGAATGTCGCATGTAGCCCTGGAGTATTATGGACCAACTATAATCCATTGTATCACTATACCACACTTTGTTCATCCATAAAGCCCCTGACGAACATGTGGGTTCTTTCCACCTTTGGGATATTGTGAATAGTGCTGCAATGAACATTTGTGTCCAGATACAGATGTTTGAGTACCTGTTTTCAGTTCTGCAGTATATACCTAGAATGCGGGATCACACGGTAATTCTGTTGAACTTTCTGAGGCACCACCAAACTATTACCACAGTGGTTGCACCATTTTATTTTATTTTATTTATTTTTTAAAGATTTTATTTATTTATTTGAGAGAGAGAGTGAGAGAAAGAAAGAGCACAAGAGGGGGAGCTGGAGAGGGAGAAGCAGACTCCCTGCTGAGCAGGGAGCCCGATGCGGGACTCGATCCTGGGACTCCAGGATCATGACCTGAGCCGAAGGCAGTCGCTTAACCAACTGAGCCACCCAGGCGCCCCGGTTGCACCATTTTACATTCCCACCAGCAATGTAGGAGAGTTCTAATTTCTCCATGTCCTTGCCAACACTGGTTATTTTCTGTTAACTTTCTTTCTAATTGTAGCCATCTTCATGGATGGGAAGTGGTATTTTGCTGTGGTTTTGATTTGCATTTTCCTAGTGACTAATGATGTTGAACATCTTTTCATGTGCTTGTTGGTCATTTATCTATCTTATGGGAGAAATGTCTCTGCCAGTCCTTTGCCCGTTTTTGAATTTGGTTGTTTGTCTTTTTGTCATTGAATTCTAAGAGTTCCTTATATGTTCAATACAAGTCCCTTACTGAATATATGATTTGCAAATATTTTCTCCCACTCTGTAGGTTGCCTTTTCACTTTCATAATAGTCCACTGATGCACAAAATCTTTCAATTTTTATGAAACCCAATTTGTTTTTTCTTTTGTTGCTTGTTCTTTTTTGTCATTTTAAGAAATCCATTGCCAAACCTAAGGCCAGGAAGATTTACTCCTATGTTTTCCTCTAAGAGTTCTACAGTTTTAGTTTCTAAATTTAGGTTTTTGATCCATTTGATGTGATGTTTGTATACACTGCAAAATAGAGGTCCAACTTCATTCTTTTGCTTATGGAGATCCAGTTGTCCCAGCCCCATTTACTGAAGCCCCATTTTATTGGCTTGGACCCCTGGTCAGTTAGCCATAGACGTATGCATTTACGTCTGGACCCTTGATTCTATTCCACTCATCTACATGTCTTAGCTTTCATTGGTGTGGATAAGAATGTGTCAGAATGCACTGCGGTCTGCCTTGCACAGAGTCATGGTAACATGTCAATAATCCTGGCCAAAGGTGAGACACACAGGGCTTGGTAAATTTGAGAAAGAGTAGAGCTTTCAACATGAAGCATAAGTATTGCAAACACTTATGCTAAGACAACAATCTAGGGACTTGTTCAAGAACTTGGAATAAAAACATCTAAATAAAGACAAGCTGAGCACCCTTACTTGGCAGACCTGTCCTAGAAGCAAACGTTCTGATCTTGGTGGATGAACTCCTTCTACAAATACAAGTAAACATCTTAAGGAAGGGCAGATCCATCAAGGACATTGCAAACAATTCAGAACATGGTGCTCCGTAGGCTAAAACCAGGAAGAAATTATGATGCATGGACTCGAAGCTATTTTAAATCATCCCCCTGTATTCCATTCGGTAACATAACAATTTTTTCTCTCTCTCTCTTTAAACAAAATGATCAAACTTTTCTAAGAGTAAATTTAGTTCAGGGGCGCCTGGGTGGCTCAGTCCTTAAGTGTCTGCCTTCGGCTCAGGTCATGATTCCAGGTCCTGGGATCGAGCCCCGCATCGGGCTCCCTGCTCGGCGGGAAGCCTGCTTCTCCCTCACCCAATCCCCCTGCTTGTGTTCCCTCTCTCGCTGTGTCTCTCTCTGTCAAATAAATAAATAAAATCTTAAAAAAAAAAAAAGAGAGTAAATTTAGTTCAAATAAATTCAATCAGGTAATCCAAATAACTTATTATTGACTATTTAAATGTTAACTAAGTTAATAAGTATTAATTATATTTTAATGTTATTATCAGTATGTTGATATACTTATATAATTATAATACATTGTGTTTCTATTTCCTTGTTAATTATTAGTAATCCCTCATTCATGAAAATGCTTAAAAATAACTTTTTTTAAAGGTTATTATTTATTTATTTAACAGAGAGAGACAGAGAGAGAGAGGGAACACAGGCAGGGGGAGTGGGAGAGGGAGAAGCAGGCTTCCCACTGAGCAGGGAGCCCGATGCGGGGCTTGATCCCAGGACCCTGGCGTCATGACCTGAGCCAAAGGCAGATGCTTAACGGCTGAGCCACCCAGGTGCCCCTTAAAAATAACTCTTTAACTCAATATTCTACCGAGCGTTTACCTTGTGTACCATGGTGGCTAAGGGCATTTGTTTATTCATTCAGCAACACTGTCTGAGCATACACACACACAGTCTGGGCACTAGGGTGGGACAGGAGCAGGCCCTACGTTCCTTTCGCTGCTGGGTCTTCTGCTGGTCCTATAAAGGGCAATGAAACAGCTCACAAAACGCTTCCAGGCCTCCACCTTCCCTGGCTCCACCAGCTGTGTCCTGCCCCAGGGCTCTGAGCTTACCAGCTAGTCAAGCCCACAGGCATGGGGCTCCCTGGCCTCTCAACTCTAGGAGCTTCTCCTGTGGAATTTTGCTGGGATGCTAAGGGAAATCTCAAAAGAATAAGAACAAAGAAGCAAATAACCAAGCAGAGAAAGGGACAAGTTTACGGAACATGGATCATTTATCCCAAGGGAACATTTATCCCAAGTTCTTGGGAACAGGGATCATTTATCCCAAGTTCTTGATTTCAGTCTCACTAAAAGGATCTTTCCCCAAACCCCAGTTTTCTGCACACCACCCCCAAAACTCCTACCATGCTCCTTCCCTTGGCTGCCACGGTCTTACAGGCACCCCAAGGAAGGGACAGGACCTTTCCTGGGGCCTCACAGGCTCTTCTAGTTAGGTTACAGAATCTTCGGGCTATCTTTAGGGGTCATTAACTTAGGAATGAACCTCTCTCCAGTCCTAGGACCACCCCTAACCTTGGCAGGGCTGGGAGGCAGAGGTGCAACGGGAGGTCACATGCCGTAGGTCTGCATATTTAAAAGTCATAAATCAAGCTAACAAACTGTCAAATGACACGTCCTCCTTGACAGATATGTAACTTCATCATGACATGGATGGCAAGTTCCTATTTAGAATTCCCCACCCTATTTCTCTTATTTTGCTCCATAAACGCTCTTTCATATATGTATGTAGACACTTCCAGTCACCATGTCCATGTTATGTGCTATTTCTTTTTTTAAAAAAAGATTTTATTTATTTATTTGAGAGAGATAGAGAGTGGGAGCGAGAGAGAGAGCGCAGGAGCAGGGGGGAGGGGCAGAAGGAGAGGGAGAAGCAGACTCCCCGCTGAACAGGGAGCCTGACGCGGGGCTCGATCCCAGGACCCCGAGATCATGACCTGAGCCGAAGGCAGACACTTAACCGACAGAGCCACCCAGGCGCCCCTTATGTACTATTTCTTATTACCTTTTGATGTAATTGTAACTGTAACCATTTCATGGTAATCATCTACGATTATCTCAATAAAAATTAAATTAGAAAAAAAAAAGGAGGAGGAAGGACTGGAGAGAGAGCGTCTGTGTGTGTGGGTATGTGTGCAGGACGGCCCACAGACCCAGGTGAGAGGAGCCCCTGTGCCGGGCCTGTCTGCTTCACAGGAGCCCCTCCTCACAGGACAAGGAGCCCACAGGCTAAGGGGTCTTGCCTACTCCTTGCTCAGCGCTCCCCCTTTCCAAACCATGCTCCAGGTAGCCAGGGCCTTGGAATTCCCTGCCAAAACAGCCTACAGCCCATTTCTGGGGCCTGCACAGCCTTTCCCTCTTGCTGTCACTCTGAGTGGGTCTTGACCCACTGCCGGTGTGGCCACCTCTAGGGCCACGGGTGGTCCAAGGGGAGGCTGTTTGTGAAGACTACAAACAGATTTTGATTTGGCAAATGAAGCCCAAGAAAGCTGGTAACCCCACATGGTGGTGACCCAGTGTGGAACAAGGGCGGGCACATAGTTTCTCTGTCCTTGAGCCATAGAATTCTGGAAAGGAGAGCAAGAAGGCAGAGCCAGCTCTGGTCCACTCCCTGAACTCCTGTAAGTGGGACACGGTTCATAAGACATGCAAGAAACAAGATCCACTGTTCTGCTCCACTCACCCACTAGCCTTCAAGTAAAGTGTCAGGCAGCAATCCAAAGATGGAAGCATACAAACCTGCAATAGAACAAGGCATGCTTCGTTATTTCACTCTTCAAATCACAGGCTGATTGTACTTCTCTGGGAAGAAGGGCTGTTGGTTTTGGCACCCAACAGCTCACAGTGCAAAGTACAGTGACATTTCCTAGGTCCTTCTGGCTCCACCAGGACATCTGACAGGGAGGGGCTGCCGCTTGTGTTAAGTCCTGTCCGACGTGAGGGCTTCCTGAGGAGAGCGACGAGCTCGTTCTCGGAGGGTAAAGTGAATGAGGCTCTTACCGCACAGCAGGAAGCTGGGCGCCAGGGAGAGCTAATCGCAGGGCAAGAAAGTTCTGGATTAATATTCGTAATTATTAGTAACAGAATCATCCGTCAATCACGAAGTGCTGGATGTTTTAGAGTTTGGAGCATTGCTTTCTCTGTTCCCAGCCTAATTTATCTTTCACAGCGGACTTTCGGATTTACCGTCTTGCGTACTTATGCCCTGCTTGATTCCCCTCCCAAAAGGATGTGAAGCCGCTTATCTTCTTTAAGTTTAAAGTGACTGGGTCCTAAAACTCTTCAAAATGCGTTTGGTTTTGTATTCGCCGACAAAACGTCTCTTGGGAAATTGTCGGAAGGAGGGAGAGCCAGAGCTAAGCCACAGGACACAAGTGTCCCAGCGTATTGGAGACATGCTTCTGCTGTGGCCATACTGGGCGAAAGGGCGTGACACTTCAAAAAAGGATTTCTATGGCACTGTCCTGGCGAACAGGGCCTGACATGCCGTTGACCAGAGCAGAGTCTCCCAGTCGCTGTGTGGCAGCCCTGTGAAAGGGACAGGGACGTCTGGTGCCCCTCTGTCACAAATACTGGTTACCACACGTGCCATGTTGGAAATCAGTAGGTCGAGCCGCATCACTTACTTCTCCATCTGGATGGCTCTAAGAGCTCCTCCAGGGCTGGGAAGAGAGCTCATTTGTATTTACGTCCTAAGAACAAGGCATCACGCCTGGCATTTGGTAGGCACTAAATAAATGTTGAGCAGAATCTGCAAGCGTGCAGATCCTCCAAGTCATCTATTAGAATGTTGAGCCGTAAAAGATCAAGGACAGAATTATTGATCCTGCAGGTTCCAGGTTGACAATAATTTATTAATCCATATTGGGGGGATATTAAGTCTAAAAAGGAGGAGACTTTGCAGGACATGATGGTTTTATTCAAACAGTAGAAAGTTTGTCCCGGGAGCAAGCTGGGAACCAATGAGTAAAAAATAGAGGAAAGGTGAAAGTCCCTCAAGAACAGTATCATGGGCTAGGGCTTTGGGAGCTGGGCATTCTCGCTGCTGCAGGCACAATTTTTCTGGGAGAGAATTTGGTAATATGCATGAAAGTCTTACATATGTGTAGAAACTTTCACTCTAGAATCTAGAGTCTCGTTTCTAGATTTTGTTCACTGAAATTTATCAGCATCCCGAAGATATGTGTACATGGATGTTCAACACGATATTGGTTATAATAATGAAACATTTCGAACAACATGAACTTTCTACATAAATCATGATATCTCTAGATATTCATATATATCTATTTTCACTGAATGGAAAATTATACGGCTGTTAAAATGGTGCTGTAGAGTCACACTTATTTGAATGAAAATATGTTTGTGCCAGGGGCGCCTGGGTGGCTCAGTCCGTTGAGCGGCTGCTTTCGGCTCAGGTCATGATCCTGGGGTCTTGGGATCGAGCCCACATCCAGCTCCCTGCTCGGCGGAGAGCCTGTTTCTCCCTCTCTATCTGCCTGTCACTCTGCCTACTTGTGCTCTCTCTCTGTCATATAAATAGGTAAAATCTTAAAAAAAAAAAAAATGTTTGTGCCATATGGTTAAATAGAAAAAGCAGGATACAAATGGCACAACTTTAATTTAATAGAAATTTATTTTGTAAGCATGTAGAGAGATAGAGATAGAGACAGACACAGAGAAATTCGTGAAGACTATATCTCAAATTGCTGATGGTAGTTATCTCTCTGGGTTGCAGGAATACAACTAATTTAACATTTTTGTTTTTATCTGTTATTCCTAAACTTTGAACTACGGATATGTGATACCGTAATACTAATACTAATTCTAATACTAATACTAAAGAAAGTTGGGACTGATGAAAACATACCCTTGCTGTCTGTTAAGTCAGCGAGCTTTCTGCTACCCGAAGTGCTCAGCTAGAGATGAAGTGGTTTCATGGCTGGATGTTGCAGGAGGAAAGCTGGAACAGAAGCAGCTAAACCACTTCCAAATGTAGATACTCTGATTCCATGAAGGAAGATGGTGACATTGGAAACTGTGTATAAGTTCTTCACCTGCTTTGTCAGGCAAACATGGTTTTTCAGAAATAATATTTGAAAATTTTTTGCAAGGCCTGTTTTTGATGATGGGACTATAGTTCAAAATCAGAAGTTATATTCTTTGTTTTTTAAACAGAGCAAACCCTTTATTTACAAGATTTACATACTTTCCTTAGCCGAGGAAAGAGAGATCAGGAACTCAATGATTTTTTTTTTTTTAAAGAGAGGGAGAGAGCAGAGGGAGGGGCAGAGGGAGAGGGAGAGAGAGAATCCCCAAGAAGCTTCCACACCCAGTGGAGCCCAACGTGGGGCTCAATCTCACAACCCTGAGATCATGACCTGAGTTGAAATCAAGCGTTGGACACTTAACTGACTGAGCCACCCAGGTGCCCCAGAAGTTATATTCTTAATATTTGCCTCTTTCTATGACTTCTCAATGAACAACAAAGTAGGAACTGGAATATTCTCATTTTGTTCACTGGTTTGGCACATAATACCTTTGTGTCTGGCCCTGAAAACAGAAATAATATTTGCCTCTCATCCCACTGGGCACAACGTAAGCTCCATGAGGCCAGGCATTTATTTATGTTGTTCCAGAGCCCAGAAGAGTGCCTGGCACTCGGTAAATATTTTGTGAATGAATAAATGAATGTTGGCCCGGGAGAATAAGCAACTTGGAAGAAAGCTCCTCTGCAAGTACATGCTTTGGGCTGTATTCATTTTAATTACTTTAAAAACATGAATTTGTAAACAGAATTCCAAAACAAAAATTCATTTTGTATGCAATTTTTCAAATTATTAACGTTCTTTAAAAGTCGGGTATGATTTTTCTACAGCCATATATTTAAAAAATGAAAACCACAGATTATGTCCTAGATAACTATTGCTCCATAGAGCTTCCAGCAGTAAGAGAAATAGTCTCTATCTGCGCGCTCCGATATGGCAGTCGTTAGTCATGTGAGGTACTGAGCAGTGAAAAGCGGGCTGGCTGGATTTTAAATCTTATTTAATTCTACCTGATACAAGTTTAAATTTGAATAGCCACATATAGTTGGGGGCCACTATACTGAACAGGGCATTCAAGAGCAAACTTCTGATCTCAGTGCATATGACAAGGTAAATGCCTCGTGTTACCAAGATACTGTGTAAAAGCATGAAACAATTACTGAAATCTACTTCGAATCTTCTACTGAGAAATAAACCCGGGAAACCAGTGTGCATGACGGAAGAGCATCTTGCATAGATTTTAAAAAGTTCCTTACCACACAGCCTTCCTAATCTTCATTAGTACTGCTACATTCTGGACATTCCAGACATTGATTTGTATCCAAAATAAGGCTTATAAAAGTTACAAAATGCAAAGCAATGATGTGTGCAGTGCATGCTGTCAGCATTAGAATAAAAAGTGCAGCGGTTTGCACGGAGAGTATCCTAGGATGCTCTGATTCTAGAGCTCCCTTTTCACTAGTTGACTACTGTGCAATACGGCTTTGGTGATGTTCGATATAAATACAGGATTTTGTTTGTTTTCACTTCAGGATCCTCGTGATGTTATCTCCAAAGTGGGCCTCAGTGTTGGGGGGATTGGGTGAATGCAGAACTGAGGTAACCACTCAGAAGAGCCAGCCCACTGCCTTCCCCAGAAGCCTTCAGGAAACAGTCATGCAAAGTGTTCTTTAAATTAACCGACTATTTATCTTAATTCTTCACCTCATTGATGTGTAACTGTCCTATGGACATTCTTAGTGATATAGATGGTACCATAGGTCAAAGAACAGGAAGCAATTTAGGAGAAAAGCAAAAATGGATGCAGAAGGCAGTTAAACAATATATTTTTGTGGAATTTAACTGAAAAAAAATTGTTGTGAGGTTTATGAAGAATTATAACCAGTTGTTGAATGAGGTGCAATCAGAAGACAGCTAAGCTTCAAACACGGGAGACTAGAAGCCTCGGAGGTCATTTATGAGTGCTTCTGAGGCTGTATCTCAATTTCCAACCTGTCACTGATTCCTATGTTTCCGATTTAACTCTTCCTCTCCAGTCCCACTGCCAGCATCAGAGTTGAGGACTTCAACCGTCTGTCTAACCCTAGTGCCATAGACCGAATGTTTGTCCCCCCCCAAATTCTTACGTTGAAATCCTAATCCCCAATGGGATGGTATTATGAGGTGGGGCCTTTGGGATGTGATTAGGTCAAAAATACAGATTCAAAGGGGTATATGCACCCCAATGTTTATAACAGCATTATCAACAATAGCCAAACTATGGAAAGAGCCCAAGTGTCCATGGACTGATGAATGGATAAAGAAGATGTGGTGTACATATACAACAGAATATGACTCAGCCAACAGAAAGAAGAAATCTTGCCATTTACAATGATGTAGATGGAACTAATGTATTATGCTAAGTGAAGTAAATCAGAGAAAGACAAATACCATATGATTTCACTCACATGTGGAATTTAGGAAACAAAACAGATGAACATAGGGTAAGGGGAAAAAAAGAGAGAGAGAGAGAGAGACAGGGAAGCAAACCGTAACAGACTCTTCATGATAGTGAACCAACTGAGGGTTGACGGAGAAAGGAGGGTGGGGGATGGGCTACATTGGTGATGGGCATAAAGGAGGGGTGTTGTTATGATGAGCACTGGGTGTCATGTGTAAGTGATGAATCACTAAATTCTACTCCTGAAACCAATATTACACTAGATGTTAACTAACTAGAATCTAAATAAAAATTTGGAAGAAAAAAAAAAAGGAGGCAGGCCTTTGGGAAGTGATTAGGTCCTGAGGATGGAGCTTCATGAATTGGACTAGTGCCCTTTTGTGAGACCCAGAGAGCTCCCTCCCTCCTTCTGCCGCGTCAGGACACAGGGAGGAAATGGCTATCTATGAACCAAGAAGCAGACCCTCACCAGACATGGAAGCTGCCACCACTTCGATCATGGACTTCCAGCTTCTAGAACTGTGAAAGATAAACATCTGTTGTTTATAAGTCACCCAATCTCTGGAACTTTGTTATTGGAACCTGAATGGACTGAGACACCTAGTTCAAAGGTCTTCCTGCATTCCTCTTCCTGGTGAATGTTTCTGAAACAATGCTTTCATCATTTCCCTGGTAACTGAATGGAATGAATGTCACTCTTCACACCCAGGGGCTATAATGACTTGTGTTCCTTCTTTTTTTGTTTTTTTTTTTGCTTGTGTTCCTTCTTGCAACAGGTCCCAATTTGATCTTGGCGGTGTGAGGTAAGAATGAATGACTGTCTTTGCTGGGAATCTAGAGTCCCATCTACCACAAATTGACATGTGTCCTTGGGCAAGTCACCGTATCCCTGGGCCTGAGATTCCTCATCTAAATTCCTCATCCTAAAATAGCATCATGAGACTCAATAATGTTTAAGCTCTCTTCCAGCTCAAATTTTAAGATTAGTTTTGGCTCAGTCCCTTAATTTTCCAGGTCTTTCAAAGTTTCATCCTATTCTTTCTAATTAAAAGCATCTTCCACTTCTCAGTATGTAGATTTTGAGCCTCTCTTTGCTTCCTTTTCTCATCTTAGCCCAAAGGCCTGGTCCTGGATCACATCGGCCCATGTTGATAAAACATTTTTTATTTTTTTATTTATATTTTTATTTTATTTTTTTAAGGTTTTGTTTATTTATATGAGAGAGTGAGCACAAGGGGGGGGAGGGACAGAGGGAAAGGGAGAAGCAGACTCCCTGCTGAGCAGGGAGCCCCACACAGAGCTTGATCCCAGGACCCTGAGATCATGACCTGAGCTGAAGGCAGACGCTTAACCAACTGAGCCACCCAGGCACCCCAAGCTCTTTATACTGTTAAAAGTTGTTGGAACTCCAAAGGGCTCTGGCTTATGTGAGCTATAGCCCCATAGTTATTTATTGTATTACAGTTTTTAAAAGGATTAAACCATTTAAAAGCAATAATAAATCCATCATTTGTTAACATAAATGACATACGTTTATGAAGAATAGCTGTATTTTCCAAAACCAAAAACAGTTAATGAGAAAAGTGGCATTGTTTTACATTTTTGCAAATCTCTTCAATATCAGGCTTCACATCTCTTTAATATCAAACAGCTGGTTTCTTACAACTACTGCATTCACTCTGTTGTAATATGTTGTTTTACTTTAAGTATGTAGGGGGAAAGGTCTGGCCTCGTACAGATATGTGTTTGGAAGAGAGAGGAGAATATTCATAGCTTTTTCATACAATTGTGGATATTCTTCTTTAAACCTCACCAAAAGTAGACAAGAACAATTTCTTAAAGTTAGCTGTAATGTGGGATCCGAAACCATATCAGTGAAATTTCCTGTCAGTTGCATTAGTCTATTGGTCCATCTTGCACTTTGGATGATCTTTCATTCATGCCCATGCATAATTTTATAACATCATTTATAACTATTTGGAAAATACTGGTTCACTGAGTTGTGGAGATCTTCCAATGACCCATTTCATTACATGATTTCAGCACCAATCTCATCTGAAAAGCCTTTAAGCACTAGGAAGCTGTCAAACTTATGATGCCTGATACAAGATTTTTCTAAATCTAATTTTTGCTTATAAAAGCTCAAAGGAAACAAATACTGTCGGTTGCTTTTCCTTGGTGTGACAAGCTCACTTGGTTCATTTTTAAGAAAATTCTACCAAGCCATCACGTCTGAATAACCATAGTTGCCAGTTGTTCTTCCAAGTACAAAGAGTGTCCCATGAAGAAAGCAGTTAGTTCAGCCCACAACTCAAACAACTGTACAAGTGCTTTTCCTTGACGTCACCATGGTGGCTGGATGGCAGTAGAAATGCTTTGTGTGCACTTTCTGTTTCGTCACACAGAATAGTCAAGAGACATAGTGAAAGGTCAAGATTTAATAAAATTACTAGTTTATACTGCTTTACCAAGGACATTCTTATGGAAAAACTAGCCGCTTTTTTTTTTAACCCACCAAGGACAGCAGTGAAGAATCTATGACTGCTGGGGCAGGCTGAGCCAGTGCCATGCTTTGGATTAAGGCAACAGCAGCTTACACTCCCCAACCCCCCACCCCCGCCTTGTGTAGCATCAGAGCAAATGGCAACACAGTGAAAACGGCAACTAACATTTAGCACTATTACGATAAAAATTTTGATTTTGCAGACCTCCCTAGAGGACCTTGGAGACGCCCAGAGGTCCATGTCATCACACTTTGAGAACTGTCACTTTACATCCTGTGACGGGCTGAAATTGTCCTCCCCATAAAATTCATACGCTGAAGCCCTAATCCCAGTACCTCTGATTGTGACCGCGTTTGGAGATAGGACCTTTAAAAAGAGGTGATTAAGTTCAAATGAGACCCTGAGGATGGCCCTAATTCCATCTGACTGGTGTCCTTATAAGAAGAAGACATCAGGACACACAGACAGACACCAGGGATGTGCGTGCACAGAGGGACCACCACGTGAAGAGGCAGCAAGAGGGCAGCCGTCTGCCAGCCACGGAGAGAGGCCTCCGAGGAAACCAGCCCCACCGGCACCTGGTTCGCTGACTTTCAGCCTTCAGACTGTGAGAAAGTAAATTTCTGCTGTCTAAGCCACTCAGACTGCTCTTCTGTTAAGGCAGCCTGAGCCGACTAACTCAGGCTTTCTCATGCCCATCCTGTGTGTCAGATGGCCTCAGGCACAATTGCCCCTTAAAAGCCATTCCCCTCCTTCCTTGTGTGGCAGGTGCGCTCAGATGCGTGGGTGCACGTGTTCTGGTCTCCTGCGCCAGAGCCCGCCAGCTCTCTGTGCAGATACTACACTGGTCCACATTTTCATGCTAGCCTAGGCATTCCCCACCCCCCCAACACACACCTGCTGCTTTGCTTAATTATGAGATCTTTGAGTTCATGGACCAATTCAGTGTCTGCTCTGTAGCCTCAGGGCCCCGTGCAGTGCTCAGTGTATATCTATAAGGAGGGGCTGCCATTCCTCCTTCCCTTGTGTCCAGGAGCTCTCAGAGGCAAATCACCCTCTGCTCGGACAGTTTTACTCCAAGATCTCCTGACCCATAGCCATAATTTGCATATTAGTTCAGATGCATTTTTAGCAAATTTTTAAACATTATTATATGATAAGAATGTATTACTCTTTCAGGGCGCCTGGGTGGCTCAGTTGGTTAAGTGTCTGCCTTCGGCTCAGGTCATGATCTCAGGGTCCTGGGATCAAGCCCCGCATCGGGCTCTCTGCTCAGCGGGGACGCTGCTTCTCCCTCTCCCCCTGCATGTGCTCTCTTTCTCTTTCTGTCAAATAAATAAATAAAGTCTTTTTTTTTTTTTTTAAATGTGTTACTCTTCCTAATGTATATATTAAACATTGGGCCACAATCAAGCTTTCCTTTGGCATAGCTTGAAAGGAAATTTTAAAATTTCATTTCTCATTAACATTTCTGCTCCATTCATTCATTTTAAAAAAATTATAATTATCTCACTTACATTCTGCCCCCCCCCCAAAGATAGTTGGTTCTTTGTTCCTTAGGCGAATTTATAATTCTCTACTGATGATAATATTTTGGCTTTGCATCTTCTATAAATTCATTCATTCATTCCACCAATATTCACTAAGCACCTCCCTCCTCTGTGCCAGGAACAATTTTAGGCACTAGGGATATAACAATGAACTAAACAAAATCTGTACCATCAGGGAGCTTATGATCTAGTGAATGAATGGTGATTTCTCAAACTACTTTGTAATACATTTCAATGGTCTTTTGTCTCTTGATTATGTTTTGAAAACTTCTCCCTGAATCTTTAGCAGTAAGCATGTTACTGGCACCGATGACATCTTGGTGCTACTTTACACAGATGCCAAGGACGCCACCATTACATACTGTGTCCATAAGAAAACTATGAGGCCACAGCTTAACAGTAATTTAATCATTCTAAAATCCCACTACTACTTAGAGAAATAATGAACTGGAAAGCATTGGCAAAGTTCATGTGTAATTGCACACAATTCTCTAGAACTCAATTCTATAACCAAGAATCATAATGATTTGAGATAGTCTCAAAAGATGTCAATGTTTCTATTTCATGGACACTCTAAAACTAGACATAGTAATTTTAAAGGGAGCAATTTTTAAACTGAGCAAATCTTCTGGAAATAACCATCAGAGGAAAATCAGCCTTCTTATATCTGTCCCTAATAATCACAATTTAATTATAGAGGATCAGACAAAATACTTAATAGATAGATGTAATTAGTGTCATTAAAGTGCCTTTCAGGAGTAATGGAAAGAGAAAGAAGAACCTGAGAAATTATATATAATGACTCTCCCTACCTTATTTCTTCCAATGAGTTCACAGCTATTATCCTCACTTTTCCTTTTGTTTCCTTTGTCTGTAGGCCAAAATTGAGCTTATTTGTATGTGAAAACAACAGCTAATCCCCTGGGCATGGGGGTAAGCTTAAATCTTACACCACTATAGTAAGACCACTTCACTCCCTTGGTGACGGGTGACTTTCCCATGCCACTTTGGAATGAGAATTGAACCAATATCACCTAAGCTCCTGATGTCACATATGCTGATGACAGAAGAGTGGTTTGATAATGGACTGTCCAGCTAGTCACCACCAAATGATTCCTACCACCTCCTGGGACCTTCAAAGGGGGCCCATGTACCCTATAGGCTGCATAAGGAACTCCACTGGAAGGAAATAATAAAATTTCTATTATACCTTAATTTTTATCTCATTCTTCTGTAATTTCTATTTTTGTGTATGCTTCATAACATGCATACCATATAGGAGTTCATGTCTATAATTTAGAAGTAAAGAAATGCACACCGGGATGCATGCTCAAAAGTCTTATTGATGGAGCATGCAATCAGACAAGCTTGGAGACACCATTCTGGACAGCCAGGGTGGAAATATCTCACTAACACAGGGTGGACAAAATCCTATGGATGCCAGAACCTGGGCAGCAGATCACTCTGCCTTTCCTGCCTTGGAAGAGTATGAGGTAGAAGAGTGCAGTGGGAAAATGTGGCCCACTGTCCTTAGGGCCTGGTGCTCTCTTTGGTGTCGTTATGGGAAGTCCCTCCTCAGGACTTCTGCTCTCAGGTCTCATGGCCTGTCGCGTTCAAGGACTTCCTGGTGCTTCCCAAAGCCTGCTAGCTCTTCCGTTCTCTTTCCCACAGAGCGTCCACCTGCATAAGCACCCCCGGGAGTTGGTGGGGGGAGACGGCAGAGCACCCCAGGCTGGGCTGGCCCCACAGCTGAGGTCCACAAGCTGTCAGCCAAGTGGCAGAGGCCAAGAATCTCTGCCCTTTTCAACCTCTAGGGAGCATCCCCAGCCAGCTGCTTGTGCTCCTGTTTGCGGGGAAACACCCCTTTTGGCTTCTCACCGCAAGTACACGAGCGCTCTGGTGGTTGGCCCCAAGGGACAGACAGCTTGCTGTCTCCAGACACACCCGTCGCCTCTGACGCTGACTTTTAAAAATTAGTTATGCTCACTGGCTCTTTCCCAGAGGCTTCTCACCGGATTACCAGAAACACCCAGTTGGTGCAAAGAATCCTTCTCAAGCCGAAACCCTTGAGGTACCCACAGGTACTGCGGAACAACTACATTTCTCCCCAAGGGTGGATCATGCTGTTCATTCAGCCAAGCCTTAAACACTTTCCAGAAAATTCTTTCTAGTATTCCATTCATTCAGTTTCCCTCAAAATGAGCTGTTAACTACTCTTAGTCAAGAACATGATTACCTTTTCAAGATAAAAAGAGATTTCCCGTTCTCTGAGTTCTCTGATCTTTCTCGAGTTAACACATTTCTCTCTTTTCTTGCCACACTCCATCTCCCAGCCCCCAGACAAGCACTTTAAGGCATTTGCTTACTTTTACCTCTGAGACAACCCGTCTTGGCCTCGCCCTTGGCCTTGGGGTCCCGATGGAGCACCATGCTGAACAGCAATCACTTGCTTTTAGTTTTACTTCTTTTTTTTTTTTTTAAGATTTTATTTATTTATTTGAGAGAGAGAATGAGAGAGAGAGAGCACATGAGAGGGGGGAGGGTCAGAGGGAGAAGCAGGCTCCCCGCTGAGCAGGGAGCCCGATGCGGGACTCGATCCCGGGACTCCAGGATCATGACCTGAGCTGAAGGCAGTCGCTTAACCAACTGAGCCACCCAGGTGCCCCTTAGTTTTACTTCTTAAAAACGCCTCACCTCAGAAGTGACACAGTCGGTACGTCGTATCAGAGTGTGTTCTGTTGTTCTCTGGAAGGACACAGGAATATAACCTCTCTAGCCTTCCAAGCCTTCTCTCTTTTCTCTTTGTGGCTAGAGGGAAGCCTTCCCCCTCCTTGCACCTGCTGACTCACTGAGGCGTATTTACTGTGAAGGCGTGTGACATGGCAGGGCTGCCTCAGCCCCCAGCAGCGCCCGCAAGAGTCGTCACCAACAAGAGGCCGCATTACCACATACTCCAAAGCCTTCTCTTTACGTCGTTCCAGATCTCTAAGATTCAACTGATGCAGTAAAAGGTTCTCTGGGGGCCGTTCCTCCTCCCTGCCATTCAACTCTTCTCTCCTAGAGCTCTTGTTTCATTGTGTTGTGGGTTATTTGTTCACATGGCCTGTTGACATTGGAATTTGGTTACTCCGGGATAAAAACCAAATTTTGTTTACCTCCCCATCTCCAGTCCCCATTACGGTGTTTAGAAAACAGTGGCTGCTCTATGAAGGTTTATTAATGGGAAGGAGAAGGGAAAGTGTTTCTGAGAGAAGAATAGAGAAAGCCTACTGAGAGAGAAAATTGGAGTCTAGCACATTAACTAAAAGGAACACGAGTCTCTGTGCCATAGAAAAGGTTATTTTATGCAGCTCTAATGTCATATTTTCCCTCCAGCTTATTGGAAATGTACCGAGAATGACCCACGGAATTGGAGCTGGGGGAGGGGTGTGTGACAGAGTGGGGAACGGGATGTGGTTCATTGCAGGTGGTGAATTTTAGAGAGGTGTTTTTCACACAGAGAGTGCCTGATAGGCTGTAAAAATGAAAGCAAAATAAATTAATCACCAAGTGTGAAATGCCTCTGAATCTACTAGGAATGATTAGGGGATATTTTGAGAATGAAGGATGAGTAAAAGAATAAGCCCAAATGGGCAATGGCCTCTAATAAGAACCGGAGGAAAGAGAATTTCTACCATCCTCCTCCTCCTCCTCCTCCTCAACACCATCATGAGAGGAACAGAAAAGCTTGTCCGTGTCAGCACGCAGGCAAACATTCACTTCGGAAGACACACCTTGGAGACAGATGCCCCCTCCACTGTTAGATTCAAGAGGCAAGTGAGGTAAATAGGTAATGAGCTTGGTGCTTGTTGGACACTGTGATTTTAGTATCATCGTTATTGAGCACCTCCATTAATATAAGATTCCCCAAAGGGTTGGTATTCTGTTAATGTGGAAGAAGATGGAATTCAGGATTTTTATATCTTCTGAAACAGATGGTTATAATTTAAACTTCAGGAAATACAAGAAGGAAGAAACTCAGTCAAAAACCTTAAAGTCCTAGTTTCTTATTTTCCAGGCCAAACCCTGCAGTCTAATTGTATAAATAGTTCTGAGACTCTCTTCTATTTTTCTTTCTTCCTGGAGATAATCCGCAAAGTGTCTGTCTGGACACATCTAATGGTTAGCCAGATGGCATTCCAAGAATCACTTTTCTAAAAGTCTGCGATCTCGTCAGATGCATTGGAATGATCTGAGCTGGTGGCGGGGAAGCAGCATTAAGTACAGAAGCTGTGGAATGGAAGGAAGGAAAGAGTATCAAAGAATGCCAAGGGAGGGATATTTACTTTAAAAGGCAGAAGGAACGTTTGAGGGTGAGATGAGAAAAACCTTATATGTATTAAGGCTGCCACAATCCTTGTGACGCAGTGTTGCCCTGAGCTAATCTTAACACTATCAACATATCTTAAAAGCAGAGTAAATGCTATATTAGGGCTTATAAATATTTCACAATCAGGCTTGTTAACTGCAAGACTTTCCTTGCAGATTTGAAGCGGGACAGCTTTGAAAGGAGATTATAATGGCTTTAAGGCAAAGCTGACGAGCCTTCCCTTCAGAGACAGGCAGATGCTTGCTGTTCCAGGAGACCCCAAACCTCACGTCCGCCCCGCGGGCTGATGCTGAAAACGTACCCAGAGCTTTAGTACTTTGATTTAAGGCTTCGCTCCCTGTCAAAACACACCCTCCCTACACACCACTTTTTCCTTCACACTCTCCCAGAGGTAGCAGTCAGAATAAGCTGTAGACCAGTCACTTAGAGATTAGTGAATGAGCTTCAGTTTGGGTCCCGAGTATAAATTTTTTAAGGGTATAATCTAATGTTTTTAATACATTCACAGATTTGGTGCAACTATAGCTCTTTTTATGGCTGAATCATATTCCACTGTACAGATAGATCACCTTTGTTGTCCATCCATTCATCCCCTGGCAGACATTTGCATTGTTTCTGCCTACTGTGAATACTGCTGCTGTGAACATTCCTGTACCAGTATTTGTTATATATCAAATTGAGTATATATCAGGAGTGGAATTGCGGGGCTATGCAGTCATTCTGTTTACCTTTTTGAGGAACTGCCAAACTGTTTTCCAGAATGGCTGCACTATTTTATTTTATTTTATTTTAAAGATTTTATTTATTTTTTTAGAGAGAGAGAGCAAGAGCATGCGTGCGCGCGTGCTCGCACAAGTCGGGGAAGGGGCAGGGGGGAAGGTGAGGTAGAGAGAATCTCTCAAGCAGACTCCACTCTGAACACGGAGCCCGACACGGGGCTCAATCCCACAACTCCCGAAATCATGACTCAAGCCAAAATCAAGAGTCAGATGTTCAACCGACTGAGCCACCCAGGCGCCCCTGGCTCTACTATTTTACATTGTCACCAGCAATGATGAGAGTTCCAATTTCTCCACATCCCTACCGACATTGTTATTTTCTATTTTGTTTTGTTTTGTTTTATAATAGTCATCCTAGTTGGTAGAAAGTGGTATCTCATTGTGGTTTTGAACTGTATTTCCATAATTACTAATGATGTTCAGCATTTTTTCAAGTCCTTTTTGTCCATTTGCTTATGTTCTTTGGAGAAGTATCTATTCAAGTCCATTGCCCATTTTTGAGTTGGGTAGTTCGTCTTTTAGTTGTTAAGTTGTAAGAGCTCTTTATATATTCTGGATTCTAAGGCCTTATCAAGTATATTATTTACAAGTGTTTTCTCCATTCTGTGGATTGCCTTTTCATTTTCTTGATAGTATCCTTTAGAGCACAAAGTTTTTAATTTTGATGGAGTCTAATTGTTGCTTGTGTTTTTTGGTGTCAAAAGCGATTCTTGGAATGCCGGGCAGGGGAGTGAGCGGGTTGCTTTCACTGCATAAGATTTGGTGTCATTTCTAAGAATTCAGTGACAAATCTGAGGTCAGGAAGATTTACCTTTGTTTTCTTCTAAGATTTTTATGCTATTACTGCTTACATTTTAATCTTTGATCCATTTTGAGTTATTTTTTTCTATGGTGTGAGGTAGGATCCATATATATTCTTTCACATGTTGATATCCAGTTGTCCTAGCACCTCTTGGTAAAAAGACTATTCTTCCACCATTGAACGATCTTAGCATCTTGTCAAAAATTAATCGACCACAAATGTATGCGTTTATTTCTATACTCTCAATTCTAGTCTATTGATCTATATGTCTATCCTTATACAAAAATAATGAGACATTACAAACCAAAAATACAATAATATAATAGTAGCTATGTAGTCACCTTTACAAGTGTTCTTTGTTTCTTCATATGGCTTTGAGGTACTGTCTAGTGTCCTTTCATTATAGCCTGAAGGACTCCCTTTAGCATTTCTTGTAAGGCAGGTCTACTAGCAATAAACTCTCTCAGTTTTTATTTATCTGGAAATACCTTATTTCTCTTTCATTTGTGAAGGAAAGTTTTGCCAGATATCGAATTCTTAGTTGAGAGGTTTTTCTCTTTCAGCCCTGTCAAAAGTATCAAAAATTATCAACTCATGGTCTTTCTTGTTTCATCTTCTGCCTCAACACAGATAACATTTTTGAGAATTACAGAAAGAAAAAGGAATCTTAATGAAATTGAAAAAAAAGTTTGAATTGAATGGAAACAAAGGTATGAGATATAATCAAAGATGTACTTAGAAAGAAATTTATAGCCTTAAATCCATGTATTAGAAAAAAAAAAAAGCAAGGCTGAAAATCAATGACCTAAGTATCTCAAGAAGTTCAAAAAGAACAGCAAATTAAACCCTAAGAAAGTAGAAGAGAAGAAAAAAAATAATGAGTACAAATGAACAAAAACAAATGTACAATAGAGAAAACCAACCACGTCAAAAGTTGGCTCTGTGGCATGACAAATAAATGGGATAGATCCCTAGCAAAACTGGAAAAGAAAAAAGGGATAAGCACAAATCACTTATATTAGGACTGAGAAGGGGACATTGCTGAAGATCTCACAGAACTGAAAAAGGTAATATAAAAGATCATGAATGCTTTTGTACCAATAAATAAGAAAATTTAGATCAAGTGGACAAATTTCTAGGCAAACATAACTTACCCAAACTGATATAAGATGAAAGAAGATAAAAGAAGAAATCTGAATCTAATATATACCCAGGAAACTGAATCTAAACTTTGATCAAAGAAACTTTGATTCAAAGAAAACTCTAGAATTAGATGGCTTCACTGGTGAAGTCTTTCGTATGTTTAAGAAAGAAGTAATAAAATACACTTAATTGGAAAAAAATAAGACAATGAGTGGATGAATATAAAAGGTAAAATATGGGCGCCTGGGTGGCTCAGTTGGTTAAGTGACTGCCTTCGGCTCAGGTCATGATCCTGGAGTCCCTAGATCAAGTCCCGCATCGGGCTTCCTGCTCGGCGGGGAGTCTGCTTCTCCCTCTGACCCTCCCCTCTCTCATGTGCTCTCTCTCATTCTCTCTCTCTCAAATAAATAAATAAAATCTTTAAGAAAAAAAAATAAATAAAAGGTAAAATAATAAAATTTCTAGAGGATAATGTAGTACAAAACCTCATGACCTTGGAGCAGACAAAGATTTCTTCTTCTTCTTCCTCTTCCACTCCTCTTTCTCTTTATTTTAGGTAGGCAACACACGCAACATGGGGCTTGAACTCACAACCCTGAGATCAAGAATCACATACTCTACCCACTGAGCCAGCCAGGTACCCCAAGAATAGACAAAGATTTCTTAAGTAAGGAAGTAAATAGGAAACAAAAGGCACTAATAATAAAGAAAAGACCATATCATAGTTAAGAACTTCTGTTCAACCTAAGAAACCACTGAAAGAAAAGGCAAGCTACAAGACCAGAGATATTTGTAATACATACATTTTACAAAGTACATACTCATTCCCAGACATCTAAAGAACTACAGATCAATTTTTAAAAGTATAGAAAACAATTTAAAAATGAGCAAAGGGCTGATAAGCATATAAATAGATGATTAACTTCATTAGTCATCATGGTAACGCTAATTAAAACCATCATAGGGACACCTGGGTGGCTCAGTTGGTTAAGCGCCTGCCTTCGGCTCAGGTCATGATCCCAGGGTCCTGGGATCAAACCTCACATCAGGCTCCTTGCTAAGCATGGAGTCTGCTTCTCCTTCTCCCTCCGTCTGCCACTCCCTCTACTTGTGAGCACTCTCTTTCTCTGTCAAATAAATAAACACAATCTTAAAAAAAACAAACAAAAATAAAACCATCATGTGATACCACATCATACCCATCAAAATAGCTAAATAGAAACAAAACCAAATAACTGATAATACTACAAATTGTTGAAGATGTCAAGCAACCAGAACTCTCATATGCAGTCAGAGCACAAATCAGTAAAATTACTTTCGAAAACCATTTGGCAGTTTCTGCTAACGTTGAAAACATGCAGACCCCATGATCTAGCATTTTCACTCCTGGGTACATTTCCAACAAAAATGCATATATGTGTGTACTAAAAAAGACATGTTACAGAATGGTCAGAGCATCATTATTCATAATTGCCATAAATTGGAAACAACCCCAAATATCCATGAACAGTTCAAGCGGTAAATGAACTGTGATGTTCTCATGCAAAGGAAAACTGTGATAGCAATGAAAATGAACTATTGCCCCCACAACAGCAACACTGATATATCTCACAAGCATAATACTGAGCAAAAGAAGCCAGGTCTCCAAGGGTATTTATGGTAAAATCTCATTTAACTTACATATAAATGTATATATGAAGGTCAAAACACACAGGCAAACTAATCCAGAAGCCAGGACAGTGATTAGCTTCAGAGGGGTCAGTACTGGGAGGATAGGAAATACAGTGGAAGGTGTGGGGGTGCTGAGAATGTCCTATTTCCTGTTCTGGGGAGTGGCTCCACTGGGGTGTATACTTTGGGAAACTCAAGAAGTTGTGCATTTCTGAGTTGTGTACTTTTCTTTATGTTGTGTTTCCACTAAAAAATATATACATATATATAAAAAAACAACCCAACAGGGCTCCTGAGTGGCTCAGTCGGCTGAGCATCCAGCTCTTGATCTCAGCTCAGGTCATGATCTCAGGGTCGTGAGGTTCGAGCCCCACATTGGCTCACGTGCTGGGTGTGGAGTCTGCTTAAGATTCTCTCTCTCCCTCTGCCCCTCCCCCCTCTAAGAAATCCAACCAAACAAACCTAGGGACAAAACTTCATTTTGGCCCTCTAGACTTCGGCTCCCAGGACCTGAGGCCAGCAAAGAGGCTGTTATCTAACGTGGGTCTCGTCTCTCTTCATCTGTTTCCGCTTTGCTTTCCTTTTGCCCTGCAGGCAGATGACAGAACAATAATCAAGCCCTCACTTCAGAATGTATTGGAAGCATCTCATTCCCCTTGTTTCTCCCTTGCTTTTCTTTTCTCCAAACTCCTGATGTACTTGTCTCTCCTCTCCGCATCTTGCCCTTCTGGTCACACGCTACTCTCCCCTTCCTTTTCACCTCCCGCTCCACCTCTGTCCCCTTTCCCGCCTCTTCTCTGTCACTGTTTTCCATTTCTTGTCTTCACTCCCTCCCTGAAGGAAGTATGTGCAGGGCAGGGGAGTGAGCGGGTTGCTTTCACTGCATAAGATTTTACCTTCTTCATTTTCCTGTTGAAAAGCAGATAGATTGAAAAGACTCACTCTCCCTAAGGAAGCACTGTTGTGTTCAGGCTGTTCCCATTTTAGCTTTCCCAATGGAATGCTGGTAAAATACCAATCATAAGAAAATGTCCCACCTATCATAAATGATTGCTTCTGGGTGGCAAGACCTTAGGTGATTTTTATTCTCAGGGTTTTTTTTTTTTTTTAATATGTATACATTTCTGTGTTTTAAACATTTCTACATTCTTTGCAAAAGATTATTTTCGTTAAAATGTTAGTAACAACTTGGCACATCCACTCAGGCTTTAAATTTTGTAAGTTTTGGAAATTAAATGTTGTAGGAACAATAAAAATTTTAACCAATTCTATTTCTCCTAATGATGTTAGGGAACATAGTGGTGGGGTTCTTTTTACTTTTTCTTGAGCTGTTGATCAGGGTTGCCAGGTAAAATACAGGAGGCCCAGTTATAGTTGAAGTTCAGATAAGCAATAAATCTCAGGAATACATGAAAAAATTATTCATTGTTTTGTACTTTTATTTGCTAAATCTAGCAACCTTAACATTGATGGATCTTTTTCTGTGAGTCACCACCCTCATGAGAAAAAGAGGTTCACTATCCCTGCTAAGTGTGAAATTGGTAGGCAGGCAATGCGAGGGAACATCAAGCTTTAGGCAGAATTATTCTTTAGGCCTTTCTAGTGATTCTCTCTCTTATGGTGCTGCTCTCCAGCCAGAACTCTCTAGGTGCTAGGCAGTGATGCAAACTTCCGCAGAGAAGGGCAGTCTTGGGAGTTGGGTTTGTTTGGGTTCAAATCCTAGTGCCATCTTTTATTTGCTCGATAACATTGGGCAAGTACCTCACTGTTCATCTATAAAATAGTAATACCACTACCACAAGCCTTCCATGTTACTGTAAACATGAAATAAAATAATATTTGTGAATTACTTAGCTCAGCAACTGCCATAAAATTCTCTACAAACAGCTGCTCTTGTTATTTTTTGAAGAGACCAGGTCTCTTTCCTTCATACCACCAAGGAAAGGACACAAGACAAATGCACAAACGCACTCGTGGACAGACAAAAGGCACCGTGTCGTGGAAGCTGGAGGAGAGAGGGCTACCTCTGTTCTTGGGATCGGGTGTTCACACAACACCTGAACATGAGCCAGGGACCTGGGAGGCTACACATGAAGTGGGACTAGATTGCAGAACTTGGAATAAAGGCCATTCTAGTTGGGGAAAACAGCTTGAACCAAAACACGGAGGTGGGAGAGTATGGGGTATGGACAGAAAACAGCAGAGGAGAAGGAAGAGTGAGGAAAAATGTCAAGAGGTCTGGTGGCTCTGACTCCTGCCCCAGGGCTCTGATCTTCATTACACATCCACCGCGGTGCCGGTAAACGTGCCTTGGCAGAGCTGGGACAGGATGGGGGTACTCAAGAGATCATTCTGCAACAACGCACAGAGAGGACTGAGAGGGACATTTCCTCGTGGCCAGGGGTAAGGGTGTTGAGTTCAGGATCCATTGAAATAATGCTGATCTCATGATTCCCCTGCTTAAAACTCTTCAGTGGCTTCTCACTCAGGAGCAAGTCCAAAATGCTTCAGGCGGTGCCTTAGGTGCCTCAAAGCCCCACAGTGTCCTGGCTTTGGCCTCCGCCGCTCGCTGGCTGTGTGGTGTCTCTTTGCTCTGGCCACACAGGCCTCCCTTCAGCTCCTCCGGCTGTCCGGGCGATCCCACGTTACGTTTCAAGGAATCGCATCCCTGTAACCTTACCAGAGATTGCTAAAAGTAGTTTGAGAAATCACCATTCATTCACTAGATCATAAGCTCCCTGATGGTACAGATTTTGTTTAGTTCATTGTTACATCCCTAGTGCCTAAAATTGTTCCTGGCACAGAGGAGGTGCTTAGTGAATATTGGTGGAATGAATGAATGAATTTATAGAAGATGCAAAGCCAAAATATTATCAATAGAGAATTATAAATTCCTACACAGATCTTCGTGTGTCTATCATTTTTTTTCTTTCATGGAGTATTTCCTTAGGGAAATTCCTAGCATTGGGATTATTTGCCTGAAGGGCATTTTTATGCTATTTTATTGTTTTTGGTAAATTGAAATGTGTTTTGTTTGGAAAATTTCACAACAGCTTTTGAGGTCATAGGAGCACAAGGGTATTGCAAAACCAAGGCTGGTGACCCAAGTGCCTGGCACCGAGTCTGCTCAGGCTATCTCATTGGCATAGAGACATGCCAGCTGACCTTTATGCACAGAGGAGGGTTGTTAAAAGCAGACAGGAAAAAGAGACAAGTAGAACAATACAGACATGGCATACAAATGACTAGACTAGAAAAATGATCTTAACAGCTTAACAGTAATTTAATCATTCTAAAATCCCACTACTACTTTGAGAAATAACAAACTGGAAAGCATTGGCAAAGTTCATGTGTAATTGCACACTATGTCTTTCTGCTCTTTTATGAGTCTGGCTTTTGATTCTGAATTCAGAGGATCAAGCCGAACATTTCCATGGAACTTGGAGTCTAGTAATTGTGTACCTGTCCCATACTGTACATGTCCACAATCGGCGTCTTTATGAGGATACCAGTTAATAACAGTATTCTTTTTGAGTAATATTTTTTATATTTTAATAACAATTATTAATATTAACTAAAACTGCAAAGCAGACACAACTCTAACAGTGATGGAAGATTTTTTTTTTAAAGTGCTAGCAGATGACTTTAATTAAAACAGAAAATGAATAGCCCAGATTTTTAAACATCTCATTTTAAAAAAAAGATCAAGTTTCCCATTTAGACACCTCTTTCCTTCCTTTCCTTCCAAAAAGTCTCAAAGTAATTTAAATAAATAATTATTATGGAAATTTTCTGGTTATAATTTTCCATTAAAATGAAACTCTGTGAGAACAAGAATAGCATCGTCTACATTGTTCGTGATTGCATGCTGGCGCATCAAACTATGAGAAGCACATAGGAGGTGCTCAATGATAAATAGTTGTTGAATGAATGACTAGAAGAGAAATAGGTAAGAAAAAACTGGTCCCTAGGCAGAGTGGTCTTCTGCAAAATAAAAAAAGAATGCATACTCTTAAAAACACTTAGAAAATTAAGAAAAGGAGAAAGAAGGAGAAACAACACTCTCAACTTGAAAGCTATCATAGTTTTTTGTGTTTTTTTAAATTTTTTTTAAGATTTTATTTATTTATTTTTTTGAGAGAGAGAGCACGAGCAGGGTGATGGGCAGAGGGAGAAGCAGACTCCCCACTGGGCAGAGAGCTGGATGCAGGGCTTGATCCTGGATCATGACCTGAGCCGAAGGCAGACGTTTAACCAACTGAGCCACCCAGGTGCCTGAAAGCTATCATTGTCTTTCGGTTGCATTTTTTCATCCTTTTTTCCATGTACATAATTTTTAAATGTCATGTTAACCGTGTATATATACAGTTGTCATCCTTTTAAAATTAATCTTACAGGGGTGCCTGGGTGGCGCCATTAAGCATCCGACTCTTGGTTTCAGCTCGGGTCCTGATCTCAGGGTCATGGGATCGAGCCCTGCATCCTGCTCTGCAGTTGGCATGGAGTCTGTTTGGGACTCTCTCTCCCTGTCCCTCTGCCCCTGCCCCCTGCATGTGCACTCTCTCTCAAATAAATAAATCTTTAAAAATAAAATAAAATAAATCTTACAGTATGAGGATTTTCCATGTAATTTTGAAGTCTTTGTAGACACTGATTTTAATGATTATATGATAAAATGATGGAATTGCATTATGTTCTCAATAATTCCCAGTTTCTTTTCTTTTGCCATTATAAATAATGCTGCAGTAAGTACCTTTGTGGATCCAGCCATTTTTCAAAGAATGCACTTGACAAGTGATGTATCAGCCCAGAGAGCCTAGGTTATGCTGCAGTAACAAGTAGCCTCCAGATTTCTGTGCTTTCAGCAACGATGGTTTATTTATTGCTCTTGCTGTATGTCTGCTGCAGAAATGGAAAAAATGGAATGAAGTCTTATAAAACTTAAGTTCCCTTCAATTCAATTCAAGAAATAGTGGCTGAGTGCTTGTCATAAGGCTCACTGCTAGCCCTGAACGTGCTGAAAAGATTTTCTGATGAGTCACAGATAAACGAAAACTGGCAACGACATTTTCATAACATGCTGTACAACGGCAGGAAAAAAAATCAATGAAGGCAAAAGATCATTTTTCTAGTCTAGTCATTTGTATGCCATGTCTGTATTGTTCTACTTGTCTCTTTTTCCTGTCTGCTTTTAACAACCCTCCTCTGTGCATAAAGGTCAGCTGGCATGTCTCTATGCCAATGAGATAGCCTGAGCAGACTCGGTGCCAGGCACTTGGGTCACCAGCCTTGGTTTTGCAATACCCTTGTGCTCCTATGACCTCGAAAGCTGTTGTGAAATTTTCCAAACAAAACACATTTCAATTTACCAAAAACAATAAAATAGCATAAAAATGCCCTTCAGGCAAATAATCCCAATGCTAGGAATTTCCCTAAGGAAATACTCCATGAAAGAAAAAAAATGATAGACACACGAAGATCTTTATTATAGATGTTTGTGACAGCAAATGATGGTAGGTAAATTGTAGGATATTTACAAGACCGAATATCATGGATCAGTAAGCATTTGTAAGTATGAAATTTTCATAGATGCTTATGATTTAAGGTAAAAATGGGGGGGAAGGGATAATACATTTCCATCTATGCTGTACAATTATGTATAAAATGTTAATACACTTTAAAAAAAGACTAGTAGACATGTTGTAATGAGCACTGGGTATTATATAAGACTGATGAATCACTGACCTCTACCTCTGAAACCAATAATACATTATATGTTAATTGAATTTAAATTTTAAAAATACATTTAATTTAAAAATAAAAAACAAATAAATAAAAAATTTAAAAAGACTACTAGGAAATATGGCAAATGGAACGGCTGGTTTGTGAGGGCATGGGAATTTTGCATTATTTTAAAAGATTTAATATCTCTATTATTTTTGCTTTAATATTTGAAACAATAAAACAATTTTTAAAAAATACAATAAAGTCCATTCCTGAGAGGGACGCTGGGTCAAACTAATGTTTTTTAAAGTTGGAAATAAAGCGTGAGGTAGATAACTCATATTGTGCTGGGAAGCTAGTCTATTAGCTCTCTTGGAAGCATCAGTCCCTCCTTTGTCTGTTATGCTCTTATTCTTCATGACTCAGGATCTGAATTATTTAGATAAAATTTTTTGAAATAGGGCGCCTGGGTGGCTCAGTTGGTTGAGCGACTGCCTTCAGCTCAGGTCATGATCCTGGAGTCCTGGGATCGAGTCCCGCATCGGGCTCCCTGCTCGGCAGGGGGTCTGCTTCTCCCTCTGACTCTCTTCCCTCTCGTGCTCTCTGTCTCTCAAATAAATAAATAAAATCTTTAAAAAAAAAATTTTTTTTTTTTGAAATAGAGTAGTTTGGAGAAAGAGCACCCCTTGGTATCCAATCTCTTGCTGTCATTTTCCAAAACTTGGGAAGCGAATAGAGTTAAATACCAGGGCGCGCTTCTGTACAAAATACATGGGTCTGGGCAACACGAGGTATTTTCCAGAACCGACACTACCCAAGTCTTTCATTTTGCTCTGGATTGGGCACACAGTGGACACCCACCAGATCCCTGATGAATTGCAAAGGAGAGGAAATTATATTGCTCACCCGAAACCCACGGGGGGGAGGGGCTGTGTCCTCCTGAGGAGCAGGTGTCACATAGGGAGGCAGGAGGGACAAGGGGCCGAGGCCCAGGACCCCGTGTGGAGAGCACTCCTCTTCCGGAGCCACGAACACGGGCGGCCCCCGCGCCGAGGGAGGCGAAGAGCACTGTCCTGGGGTCTTCCCGCTGACCGTCACACCCCCGTTGATGAAAGGCGGCAGGCGGTGGCGAATGAAGACCGCCAAGGAGCTGCTAGGCTCTCGTAACTCGTGGCGGTAAGTGACGCTCTTTATGGGAAGCTCGCTCTGGCCCCGCTGCCAAAGGGACAGGCTCTTGGGACCACTATGCCTCCTTGAGTCAAAAATTCTTTGGAAGCTTTCCCGTGCTTTGCCATTTGAATCCATGCTACGCTGACGAGGCCAGAGACTTCTCTTTTTCTTCTTTTTTTAAGTCGTTTTAACAACTCCCTCGCGTTGCTGTGGGTCGGCTCGGCTTTGGTGTTTTCGGTTGGCCTGCAGCACATCCAGCTTTCTCACTGGGTCAGCTGGGCAATGGCACGTCACGGCAGCAGAAGCTTCCTGAATAATGCTGATGGCATTGCGGGGGCAGCCGGGGGCCGCATGCCACAATGTCACCTTGGCTGCGCTCCTGCGGACAGTGTGGGCGTCGGTGGCCTCCGCGGGCTGCTTCTCTGCACCGAGGCCCGGCAGTGGAGGGACCAGCCTGGTTGCTCAGGGACCTGGAGGAGCCTTGAAGAGCCAGTTAGCATTTGCTCAGGGCAGTGAGACCCGATGCACTTGCACGGAGCCACGGCGCGGGGATTGCGCAGGTCGAGCCGGCTGGAGCAGGCCCGGGGGCGGGAACGCGGCCAATCTGGGTGGCCCGGGTGGCCCGACTGACTCCATCTCCATATGTCCGTTTACCCTACTTGGTTGCAAATTTAGCTGACCTAGGTCTATCCCTTGGGTGATTATAAAGTTTCAACTCCCTTTGCAAAATATTTTGGGGTCCTCGGTAGAGATGAGAGAGCGATTGCTAAATGTGAGTAATGGATTAGACGTGGGCCTTCCCTTCTGGGGAGCCGGCAGGTGATTCCTTCCCTGACCCAGGGTGGTGAAGCCCCAGAAGGCTGACAGCCTCACCTGCGGTCCCCGCCTTCACTTTGATTCTTAGGGTCTTCTTGAGCGATGAAGCTTTCAAAAATGGCAACAACAATAACAAAAACAACAAACCCTTTATTTAAATTATCTGAGGTTTCCTTTGCCAAAGATTTAAAAAGATGCAAGGATTTCAGAAAACTGGAGAATGAACCTTACTGCCAAGTTGCAGTCAGGAGAGAACACTCTTTCTGAGTGGTTTTCAATCGTCTGCTGTAATAAATGATTAATTTCCCCATTATATTACATTAAAGGGATTAAAAATGATACTCCTCTCCTTTTATATGCAATTTTATGAGTCACTTGTACAGGGGTGTAGCATGAGTAATAAAAATGGACCAGACAGTTAAATAAACCGTGTGCCAGCAGCAGGCTTCTGTGTGATGGGAATTTCTGTTAACCCTTCCCGTCCCCTGGGGGGAGGGGCTGCCCTACGGGAGGCAGAGGGGGTCCTGGGAAGGAGGTCCTCGGAGAGAGGTCTTCTTCTGAACCAGCGGCCCCCAAGGCTATGTTGGGATCAGAAGGCAGCGCCCGCGGGGCCTCTGGCCACTGGGGAACCTCTCCTGCACCCCTCTTGGCTGTAGGGCTTGATGAGCCTTTCCAGAGACCAGGCCAGATCTCCCACAAACTCCCTGCACTGGTTTCCTAGGGCTGTCGTAAGAAATCCCACCAACGAGGAGGTTTGGAGCAACAGAAATGTATTCTCTCACGGTTCTGGGGGCCCAAAGTCTCAAGTCCAGATGTCTGCAGGGCCGTGCTCCCTCTGAAGATTCTAGGGAAGGAACTACTCCAGCTCTCTCTTCCCACTTCTGGAGGCTCCTTGGTTTCTGGCGGTATGACTCCAACCTTCACATGGTGTTCTCTTCCTGTGCATATCGACCTCCAAACGTCCCCCTTTCTAAGCACACGAATCAGATTAGATTAGGGGCCCACCCTCATGTAGGACCCCATCATAACTAATTCAATCCTCAATGACACTGTGTCTAGATAAGGTTACCATCCTGAGGGGCCAGGGGCTAGGGGCTAGGACTTGAACATACGAGTTTTGGAGAGACCAAAGCGACACAACACTCATCTAGGTGGGCTTTTCCCTGACACTTCTCTTGTAGCTTCAGACTCTCCATCTCAAAGCTGTGGGTAAGTTGCCATGTCTGTCAGGCTTGTCAAGTCATATCCGGAGATCCATTCTCCTCCCCTCCCCCCAGCCCCTTTCAAGAGGAGAAAAGCTAGCTTGTGGGAAAGCCCACGCATAGGTGAGGAACCCCAAACTCGGTTTGTGTCCTCCCTGTTCTCATTCCCACTTCCTCAGATTACAACCCTCTCTCCAAATCTCCTTTCTAGTAACAATCTGGAATTCACTCACCCTGAAGGAATGCAGCACATGATTGTGGAATCTTAGTGTTAGATCTCCCAGTTCACCTGTCCAAGTCCCTTCCACAAATGACCTTGACACGTCTGATACCAAAGCCTCAAGCCCAATGAATGATGTTCAGTGTGGAATTCTGGGCCCGGTGACAAAGAGGGGCTGTTTTTTTTGTTTGTTTGTTTTGCAGGGGCAGGAAGGGCTGATCATGAGGATTCTGAGGTCATACCCATGAGGCCAACTCATCCTGCTCTGGTGACTATATGTGGGTTTTCATGCCTTACATTCAAATATCATCTTCCTTGGAGGCTGAGATTCTGAAGAAGGAGGGTGGGTAGGTGGGGAAGGGGTGAACATCCCAGAATTGCCTGGAAGGCTGACATAGGATGAGTCCCTACCATTGTCACACCCTGCCCTTGAGGTGAACAAGTCTATTTGAGCCCTCAGTTGTGTTGGAGGGGGCCGTCCATTGAAGTCCTGCTCAGGGAGCTCAGAATGCTTTCAATTCTTAGCTCCTCCACCACCTCAATCAGGAAGAGTGATATTCAAAGTGAATATCGTGAAATAGTTGAGTTCATATCTGCCGTATTTGTTACTGTTTTATATTTGTTGCCCTTGTTCTTTGTTCCTATTTTTGTCTCCTACTTTTTTTTCTTCCTTTTGTGGTTTTAATTGAACATTCCATATGATTTCATTTTCTCTCTTAGCAAATCAGTTCTATTTCTTTTTTAAACTTTTTTAGTGGTTGCCCTAGAATTTGCAATATATTTTTACAACGAATCCAGGTTCACTTTCAAATATCACTATACCACTTCAAGGGTGGTGTGAGTGCCTTCCTCATCCTAATTCCTTCTGCCTGTCCCTTGTGGTCACTCATTTCACTTATATCTAAGTATACATAGTTGAATACATTGTTGCCATTATTATTTGGAACAAAATGTTATCTGTTAGATCAGTTAAAAATAAGAAAAATAAAAGTTTGTTATCTTATTCCTTCTCCAATGTTCTTCCTTTCTTTATGTAGGTCCAAGCTTCTAACCTGGATTATTTTCCTTTTCTCTAAACAACTTCTTTGATGGGGTGCCTGGGTGACTCAGTTGGTTGGGCATCCAACTCTTGGTTTTGACTCAGGTCATGATCTCAGGGTAGTGAGATCCAGCCCTGAATTCAGTGGGGAGTCTGCTGGAGATTCTCTCTCTCCCTCTGCGTCTACACCTACCCACCCCTTCTCACGCGTGTGCATACACATTCTCTCTCTCTTAAAATAAATAAAATCTTAAAAAAATAAAAGAACTTCTTTGAACATTCTTGCAAAGCCAGTCTATTGGTAACAAATTACCTCGATTTTTGTTTGAGAAAGTCTTTGTTTCTCCTTCCCATTTGAGGGCTAATTTCACAGGCTACAGAAGTCTAGGCTGGTGGTTTCTTTCTTTCTTTCTTTCTTTTTTTTTTTTAAGATTTTATTTATTCGTCAGAGAGCGAGAGAGAGAACACAACAGTAGGGAGCGACAGGCAAAGGGAGAAGCAGGCTCCCCGCTGAGCAAGGCACCCAATGTGGGACTCGATCCCAGGACCCTGGGATCATGACCTGAGCCGAAGGCAGATGCTAAACCATCTGAGCCAGCCAGGTGCCCCTAGGCTGGTGGTTTCTTTCAACTATTTAAATATTTCACTTCACTTTCTTCTTGCTCTCGTGATTTCTGTATAGAAGTCAGATGTAATTCTTATTTTGTTCTTCTATAGGTATTTTTTTCCTCTGCCTTCTGTTGGGATTATTTTTGTTTTAATTTTTGGCTTTCTGTAATTTGAAAATGATATGCCAAGCTGTAGGGTTTTTGGTTTTGTTTTGGTTTTTTTTTGGTATTTATCCAGCTTGGTGTTCTCTCAGCTTCCCGAATCTGTGGTTTGGTGTCTGACATTCATTTGGTGAAATCCTCAGTCATTATTGTTTCAAATATTTCTTCTTTTATCTCTTTCTTTTCCTTCTGCTATTCCCATTATGCATGTTATACCTTTTGTTGTTGTCCCACAGTCCTTGAATATTCTGTTCTGTCTTCTTTTTCAGTCTCTGTTCTCTTTGCTTTTCAGTTTTAGAGCATTCTATTGCTAGATCTTCTAGCTCGGAGATTCTTTCCTCAGCCATGTCCAGTCTACTAATAAGACCATCAAAAGCATTCTTCATTTATGTTATGGTGTTTTTTATCTCTAGCATTTCTTTTCGGTTCTTTCTTAGGTTGCCCACCTCTCTGCATACATTGCCCATCTGTTCTTGCATGCTGTTAACTTTATCCATTAACACATTCACCACAGTTATTTAAAATTCACCATCTGATAATTCCAACATCCCTGCCATGTCTGCTTCTGATACTTGTTCTGTCTCTTCAAATTGTATGTTTTCACCTTTTGGTATGCCTTATGATTTTTTTTCTAGATAGCCGGGTATGGTGTACTAGATAAGAGGAATGGATGTAAACAGGCCTTTAGCAATGTGGGGGTGGGGAGTGGGGGAGGGGAAGTATCCCACAGCTCTGTGATAGGTGTCAGCCTTCTAGTGAGCCTGTGCCTCTGGACTGTGAACTACACAAGTGTTTCTCAGTTTTTCTCTCCCCTTAGGTGGGATAGGATGGTGTGAATGCACCAGAGTTGGTTCTTTCCTTTGTCCAGGTCAGCCAGGCTCTGAGAACACCCCAGCAAGTTAGGCTCTGGTGACCAGTCTTCCCTGAGGGCAGTGCTCTGGGATATTTCAAAATGGTTCCTTTCCTCCCCACTGCCAGAAGCAGGAGGGGATTTTCCCCTGGTATTTACCGTGGGAACCTGGGGGAGGTAAATCTCACAATACTGTGGGGTAAATCTCACAATTGTATGACTCAGTCCCCCCTGGAGTTTTTACTCTCAGAGCTGTCCACACTCAGCCCACAGCAACTGCTCAGTTACAGCTCAGGTTTTCCTACTCCCAAGGAGGGGATAAGAACGTCCACACTTGGGCGCCTGGGTGGCTCAGTTGGTTCAGTGACTGCCTTCGGTTCAGGTCATGATCCTGGAGTCCCGGGATCGAGTCCCGCATCAGGCTCCCTGCTCGGCGGGGAGTCTGCTTCTCCCTCTGACCCTCCTCCCTCTCGTGCTCTCTGTCTCTCATTCTCTCTGTCTCAAATAAATAAATAAAATCTTTAAAAAAAAAAGAACGTCCGTGCTTACAGCCAGTGACAAGGAGACCCAGAGGAGAATTGTGGAAGAACGTTCTCTATTCCACTTAGTATACTTATTTCTCAACCCTGTGTACTTTTCTTTTAATAACCTTTCCCCTCATTTTTAAAGTAATACATAGTCGTATAAAACTTCGGAAAAATCAGAAAAGTATGTTCTTTAATTGCTATGATCCCTTGGTTTACCCAGAGAGCTGTAGTGCTAATACTCCTATATATTTTATTTCTGATTTTCTCCTATGTATGTGTGTAAACAGATAAATGGTGAATAAATTCATAGACTGCAATTGATATTGTAGATTACATTTTCATATCCTACTTCTTCCAATTAAAGTGCTATTATGATTATCTCTTATGTCCATCATATTCAATGTCTTCTTAATTGTACATTGTTAGGATTTCCTACAATTTTATTAACTGTCCCTTGTTTGGGAACTTTAGGTTTAGTAATTTGGAGGCATAAATATTTGATAACATTTGATGATTTCCTTTGTTTAGGATTCCAAAGGTGGGATTTCTGAGTTAAAGGGCATGAGCATTTGAAAGGATCTTGATAAACACTACTAATTTATTTCCAGGGAATTTGTGCCTTCGTCCCTGTCACATCCTAGTGTTGTCTTACACTTGTATTATAACTGCCCAGCATATGGGCGGGTAGTTCTTTGTGGAGTAAAGGCCGTTGTCCTGGCGTGGAGAGGATATGGGACAAACAGGCCCATCATTTTGGTTATGACCCAATGTCAAGAAACCCACAATGGCAGTGCCCCTTCTCTTTTATTCAGTGCTTTCTTTTTCCTCCCCACTGCTCCTGGACAAGGCTAGTGAGCGCAAGACCAAGAACTCAGAGGGAAGAAAGCATTGCCAGAAATCAGTTACCTGTTGTTGTTGTTGTTGTTTTCCTAAATAAACTCAATCCATAACAAGAAGGAGATGGGAAAGGAGGAGGAGAAATGAACCAAAGTGACTGTTAGCAGCTCACATTTCCTCTCAACAAATCATGTAATAAAGCTGCAAGAGGGAGATACTTCATATCAACAGAATCATTATTTCGGGAACTAGGAAACTGGGTGATGTTGGTAGAAATGTTGACCAAATCAGTGCCCAGATCGGTCCTGAGACCACTTCTAGGAAAAAAAAAAAAAACTCAGTGTTTGCAGGACCTGGGAAAACCTCTCTGGCTCACCCTCTTTCCTATTCCTTTGTTTCATTAAGTTTTTACTATGAAATAGTTTAGATATTGTAAAAAGGTGTACCCACAACCTAGCTTAATAACTAAAACATAAGAAATAGAGTGAGCCTTTTGCTCATTATTACATTCTCCTCTTTCCACCTTTGCACCCCTACTCCCAGAAATAACAATTATTCATGAGTTCGTGTTTATCATTCCCATGTAGTTCTTTAAACTTTGCTACATATGGGGGCACCTGGGTGGCTCAGTTGGTTAAGCGACTGCCTTCGGCTCAGGTCATGATCCTGGAGTCCCAGGATCGAGTCCCGCGTCGGGCTCCCTGCTCGGCAGGGAGTCTGCTTCTCCCTCTGACCCTCCCCCCTCTCATGTGCTCTCTGTCTCTCTCATTCTCTCTATCTCAAATAAATAAATAAAAATAAAATCTTTAAACTTTGCTACATATGTATGTATCCCTAGGCAAAATATAGCATTTGCTTTTCATATTTCTTTTAACTTTTAAAAGGATACCAAATGCTTCTTACTCCAACTTGCTTTTTCGTTTCACATACTGTCCATGAAACTTACTCATGTTGAACAAGTAACTCAGGCTCATTCATTTTTGCTGTTTAATACTCCTTCGTATGTATATGCCATTTCTTTATCTAAACTCTAATGATGAATATTTAGGTGGTTTCTAGTCTTTCGTTATTAAAAACAATGGTGTTGTATATATTCTTGTACACACTCTTGGGCAAGTTCATGTGGGTTTCTCTACAGCTATGGCCAAAATGCCTGCACAGCATTAACTTCTGCAGATATTGCCCATTTGCTCTTCAAGAGAGCTGTGTCTTCAAGTGCCCCTGCCTACAGCCTTATTAGTGCAGTAGGACAGACTTAAAGTTTTGCTAATCTGATGGGTGGTAACTTGCATGTCCTTGATTACTAATTTTAGCATTTTGTGATGTGTTTATTGGCCACTGGTGCTGCTTTATGTGAAGTCCGGCATGTTCATATTGTTTGCTCATTTTGCTTTTTAGGTTGTTTGCCTCATTTTTGCATGGACAAATTTGAACAGAATGAGTATCGTGATCAACCCTAAAAGGTGGAAAGCCATCACCCAGGGGCAGCATTGGGAGAAGAGGCTGGTTTGTCTGCATGGTGATGACAGGCCTTTCTTTTTTTTTCTCTCTAAGATTTTAGTTATTTAATTGAGAGAGAGAGTGTGTGTGTGTGTGTGTGTGTGTGCACGCGCACCAGCATGGGAGGAGGGGCAGAGAGAGCGGGATGTGGGGGTTGGTGGGGGGGTCCTTGATCCCAGGACCCTGAGATCGTGACCTGAGCCAAAAGCAGACCCTTAACCCACTGAGCCACCCAGACGCCCCGACAAGCCTTTCTTTAGCCCCCAGCACATGGAACTGTAACACGTCCCCCCTCCTCCTGGGGCTGAGGGGCCCGGGCACATCTCCCAGGCCGTTGTATTTTAGGAATGACTCTGGAGAACCAAGTCAGTCTAGCTCCTCCGACGAACCAGTTCAGCGCTCCTGACTAGAAGCATCAAAAACCAGCTCTCAGCTCATTTAAGCTGCAATGGGATTTATTGAAAGGGTGCCAAGGACACCCATGGACAAGGGTTTCTGAAGCAGGAAGGGTGCCCCAGAGCGTTTCACAGGACTGGCCTGTTGGAGGCACCTTCCTCAACCCAGACGCGGGACACCCCCACTGACTAGGACACTGGGAACTGTAGAGGTGACTGTAACAAGGCAGGTCTCACTGTTGTAGTGAGAACAAAAGGCCAATTTGAGCGGGTTTGGGAGCAGAATGGAAGGAAAGGAGGTGGAAACAGCTGGGTGTAGAGAATTAGCTGTAAAGGGAGGCAGAGAAATGAGACTATGCCTAGAGGGGCATGTGGGCTCAATGGGGTTTCTTTTTTAATGATGGGAAATAGGACAACACATTTGTATGCTCCTGGGAAGGACTCAGTGCCAAATAGAGAGCAAAGAGTCAGTTTTGAGTAGTGGGAGGGGATGGGATACTTTGTACTGGGAGGAAGGGCAGGGGAACCCAGGCAAAGTAAATGAGGACAGAAGCAGAGAGATGAGTAGCTCAAGGGAGATGGTACCGCGGGAGTTCTTTGCTAAATTCTTCTATTTTCTGGGTGACTTAAGAAGATCGACTGCCAGTAATTAAGAGCGGGAGCAGGATGTTGAAGGCTTAAGGAGAGAAACATACATTAATCAACTTTCAAAGGTTTTTGCTTTTATTCCTGAATTTTTTATATCCCATGATAGAAACCACATGAAAAAAGAAAAACCCTTAAAATGTTCACTAATGAACAAAAGTGGGATTTCAATTACATACATTGTTTTCTCTTTGGAATAAACTGCTAACCCATTAAGAACAGTTTCTCTAGCAAAGAACACCATCAAGTTCTGGAGGATTTCTACAAACCGCACTCTGTTTACCTTTCTCCAGAAACAAAAGTGACGGAATAGTTAACATCTGCTTGTCCTAAGCTTAAAGTCCAAGTTGTAATATTTATTCTGACTAACCTTCAGAGAATGACAAAGGAATCCTTTAGAGCAAAGGGGACATTTTAACCAATGACCACACTCTGTGGCCAGTGCTGCGTTAAAGAGAAAAAGAGAGGAAACTAGAAGAATACAAGACTGCTCGTTTTGCTCTTCTGGAACGGGACCTGGTCTTTTTATAACAGGAGAATCAGAATAACCTTCCATGGATGTGTACACAGCACGCATGATTCTGCCCACCACAGAGCCCGGGATGCCAAGCACCGTGGGTATTTCAAAACTGTTTTGAAACTTACCGCCCACACTCGCCACCTCCCTGCACCCGCTGAATTTCAACACTGGCCTGGTGGTGCAATGTGGATATTCCCTGGCAGAAACTCCTTCCCAGAGGCTATAGGATGGAGCAGGCTTCGTCCTAGCAGCTTCCCCACACCGTGATTTGATAGCATGTGGTGGGCTTATAAATATATTTTATTTGAAAATTTATTTTCAGCACAAAATTTGGCCAGGCCGTCCATTTTCTCTCTGGCTCCTTCCCCCAGTGATGCTGCTTGCTACAAATACCAACAGAAGTATGGATTTGACTACCAATGATTTGTTCAATTCCATTTAAAATGATTATTGACCTTTTCCACCCCCGGCCTGATATCTTTCAGAGCTGATCTAATTTCTGTAGAGATCTGTGCCTGTGGACTCATGTTAATTTGTTAATTGAGTTAGAGTACTGCCAGACCCTCAGAAGACCTTCACTTGGCTGTGTTCTGTGTCTAACAGTGAAACCCTGGCTGCGATGAAGTTTTATTGGTTGAACACATGAGAGCTGATGAATTGCAGCCAGAATGTGACATTGATGCAGTCATTCCAAGGGGGACGCGCTGCTGGGTCTCAGAATTGCAGAAAGCACAGGACAGGCCCGAGAGTGGCAGGATTGGTGACTTCCAAGCGGTGTCCCCTTCTTCTGGAAGCTCTCAAACACACCACGTGATGCTGGGCTGAGGGGCATGACTCGGCACTCTGGCTCCACTCCTGGGACGCACTCTCCGCCCCCCAGGATTGCGGTTTAAACGCTCTTCTCTGTGACTCAGCTGTCACAACCTCTTCGGGCAAGTTCCACGGCGGGTCTCTGGGGCCAGCGCTGTCCATCTAAATGCAAAGGCCTTATCAGCCAAGCAGATGGATGGAGCAAATGCCACTTCCCAGGGAAACCAGGAGTTCCCCCTGGGTCAGCAGGGAAGGGTTTCCTGTGAGGACACCACGTGTAAAGTCCTCGGGGAGGCAAGGCATTCTGAGGATGTGAGTTAGCACAGCGAAGCTCACCAGGGCTTCTCCGATTTGCTATAAATAACCCTGCCCTGGCAGCAGATGGGACGAGAGCCAAGGAGTAATGAACACTAGGACAAACAGGCCTCCGGGATGCCGGCCCGGCCACCCCAAGCCACGGCTGGCAACAGGCTTGAAGGTGGCAGTGGGCGAAACGGTAGCAACAACACCAGCAATCCTCCTGCACGAAGGGAGGGAAACTCTAGAAGAATGTGCGCCTAGATCACGTGGATCTAGAGCATTCGCTTAACGGGCCACAGCTGGGAAGCGGGTTAACTTGCTTGATTGGATGTTTACATATTAGCCAACAAATCAGGGTTTATATACTGGACACTGTTTAGCAAGCACCCTGCCCGAGAGAGAGCGAGAGTCAGGGCACGGCTCCAGTACCACCCGCGGCAAGCAGAGCTGACAGCGGACAGCCCGGGAGCAGGACGCAAGCCTGGGTTTGGTCTAGCAGTATTAGATACCGTACAACCAACTCCTGTGCAAAATAGACTCTATCACGTTAAGTAAGGGCGGGAGGGGAGTGGGATGAGCCTGGAGAGCGAATGTCAGGGAACAAGTGGATATGGAGGCAGAGCTGCTTTGAGCTCGCTGTCAGGGTCAGCGCAGTAATGGTGAGTCTGACAGACCACAGCCAAAGGGGATAGGGTGCAGAAAGGGAGACTCTTGCATTATGCTAGGACGGTGCCCCCAGCCCCTAGCCCCCAGTAGAAGCAGACTCAAGTCATGTCTGAATAAAAGCATCCTCCTTGTAGGCCCTCAGGATTCTGCCCAATGAAGATCAACCAATGAGTTCAGAATCAAAGAACATGAAATCTACAAGCAAACAGGCCACCATGAGTGAGAATCAGCAGAAACTATGAACCCCAGAATTAAACCTCCGTCCTTTAGGTAATGAAATTATCAGACACAAATATATATAAAATAACCACGTATCCAATGTATAAAGTCTGAAAAAAAGAAAGATCATAAAAATAGGCAAGCGATAAGAGACTATGAAAATGACCAGAAAGGTTTTGAAAAAAAAATTTTTTAAGTCAATGCAAAAAATGAAAAATAGAATTGTGAAAGGTAAAAACCATGTACCCTGATGAGAGGATGAGACAGCCAAAAGACATAGCTGGGAGGTCACTTTATTCCTTGAACAAATATGTATTTAATATCCACCACGAGTCAACTACCATTCTAGGCTGGGAGAATATAGCGATAGACAGAACAGACAAAAGTCCCCGCCCACACATAGGTTACAAAATAGATTATAACAAGTAAGTAAAATACAGAGCATAGTATCTGGAAAACGTAAGTCAGGGAAGGAGGATAGAGAGCACTGGGGGTGAGGAGGGCTGTGTTTTAGATAGGAAGGACAGAAAAACAGCTCACTGAGAAGTGGACAGGTGGGTAAAGGTTTGAAAGAGATGAAGGAACAACCCAGGAGCATACGGGGGGGGGGGGGGGGAAGGCACTGTGGGCAACGGAACAAGTACAGCGGCCTAGAAGTAGGGATCTGCTTGCTTTATGTGACCTCCTGACAGAGGTCAGTGTGGGTGGAAAAGTGGGGTGGGGGGTTCTGAGAGGTAGTGGGAGCTTTGCAGAGTAAGAGAGGATGCACCAGGCTGCAATCACACTTTAAAGGCCCATACGAAGTTAGTGGTTGTGACTTTAAATTTGAATTTAGCTGTAAAATGCGGCTTGCAAGCAATCCCTGAAACCATCCCGGCATGTCTGGTGTTTCTTCTCCTGTGTCTGGAGTCCTCTTCTCCTCCTTGTCCATCTTTGGTGTTTTCCCTCACCCTTTCTGCCGGATTTATTTGCACCCCCATCCCTGTTCCGATGTTCCTCCGTACTACAGAGAGCCGACGTTGTATCATGGTTCCTGTTTTCTGCCTTTAAGTGCCATGAGGAGCCATCATCAATAAATGCAATGCTCAATAAATTGAACTGTCCTCGCACCCGCTTCGGCAGCACATACGCTGGATTGAACCGCGCTCCGTAAAATCCCACCAGGTTATTGCAGGAAAGGGCTAAATGGTGTCTGTTTGCAAGAAGACTCTTTTGGCGCCCTTACCAGATTTGATTTGTCTTCAGTTTAAGCACACTGCTGAATGTGCAATCAATATTTTAGTAATTACATACAAATAGTTCTCGTTATAAATCAAAGTTGTTATTACTGCCTTAAGCTTTGGCTTTGGTAACAAGTCTTTTCTTGGAGACCATGCTGTTCTCCTGGGGTCAGCTGCCTGGGTTGGCTCCCATGCCATTCCCCTCCAGAGCTGCACGCTGGTGTTAGCTGGTTAAGGAGGCCAGACCCTGGGACGCCTGGGTGGCTCAGTTGGTTAAGCGTCTGACTCTTGATTTCGGCTCGGGTCATGATCTCAGGGTCCTGGGATCGAGCCCCACATGGGGCTTCGTGCTCAATGAGGAGTCAGCTTGTCCTCTCCCTGCCCCTCCCCCACTCTCTCGCGAGTGCTCTTTCTCAAATAATTTTTAAAGATTTTATTTAATTTTAAAAAGAAGGACGGATCCTACTTTCCTGACACAGCTGGAGTACATCTTAAGTACCTGGCTCACCAACGAGAAGATCAGGCCTCTGCTCCTAAATGCAGGATTCTAGCCAGAAGGCCACCATGACCTCTTGCACAAAACTGTCCGAGGAATTACTGAGGCCTAAGAGCACTCAACCTGAAGAAAGCTCTGGAACACAAGCTGTAAGGCAGGGTTGTCCCATCTTGATGTCCTCCTGTCATTGTCCCCTGGTGGCTCATCAGTCCCCCTGCTGCCTGCAGGGAAGGGCACTTATGGGAGTAGGGGCTACCCCCGACCCCACCCCGGGCAAGGCAGCTCCTGTGTGGCACTCAGCTCTCTAGGGAAGCAGCTCTAAGCAGCCGGGGGACAGGCACACTGTCCAGGTAAGGGACACCTGGATTGGCACCCATGCCAATCAATTCACACTCCCAGGAGATTCAAACTAAAACAAGATGGCTTAGCCAGCAAAGATGAAAGGAAGCACAAAATCCACCTATTTTTTTTCTTCTTTTCCCACGAGGCACTGGGCTTAGTTACAAACCAAGACAAAAGGGTTTTTTAGAGAGTGGTGTCCTAGGACGAGGAAATCCATAGGTAGCCCAACATTTTCACTACCAAATGGCTCAGCTTTATCTAAACTTGTTCAAAGCATGACATATATAGTTTTCCATCTTCTCCAAGGGATCCTGTCTCTGAGTTCTCTGGTATCTCCTTCCAGAGTCTCCACAGCCCGTACCCCCACACAGGGTTAGAACAGAACTCTACTACTTAGCCCCAAGTCACCATAATCGCCCACATTTCTGGCCATAGCGATTTCAACTCCCTAAACATGTCCCAGGTGGGAAGAAAATCCAGATGTAATCATGAACAAGAGTAGGAAACCTTACTTCAGCGGCCGGCCCCCCAGAAGCTGACCCATTCCTTCAATTTTTAATTAGAGAGAGCTGTCATCTGAACTGGCAGCTGAATCAACACCAGCCACACACATAAGGGTTTGATGTGACTTCTTATAATCAAAAGGGAAAATACTGCCCACCTCTCCATTTCATCTCAGCATCGCGTCTGCTATTATTGTCCACAAAGTCTTTGTTTCCAGCCCAGCACAGACATTGTAAGAGGGCTCACTAGTCTTTTTAAAAGACAAATCAGTGGGTCCAAAGCTCTGCTGTATGCCTCCCTTCTTGTTCAAAGCGACACTTATGTCCCTCTCTGGTGAACTGGACCCATGGAAACCCCACTGGACTTGCTTTCCCCTTCCCCACCCCTCCGAAACACACCCACTCCTCACATAGGTCCCCATGAGACCCCTGCATATTCTCCTCCCTTCTTGACTTTGGTTCAAAATAAATTAAAAACCCAAAACAAAGATTCTAATAAGCGATTAAAACAAATACCTAATTTACCAAAAGAACGAGTCACTTACCCCCTGGAGGTATGAATAGCTCACGCCTTCTGCTAAATCAGGGCACTGAATTAAAAAAAAAAAAAACATGTGTAAAACATATACTTAAGCCTTACCTCCAACAGATGACTAATGGGCGTTAGGCTGTGTTTTGTTTCTTGTTCAATTCACAGATAATTATTTACTCAATAAAATTTAAACAGTTATCATAGCATAATTGGAAGCTGAGGGTAGTCTTTTCCTCTCCCCGCCCCTTCCCAGCTGCAGCCGACATAGTCATGCAGTAGACAACATGATTATTAGTTTGCTTCTGTAGCTTTGTGACAACTTACGGGGCAGAGGGAGGGGGATCCGCAGGCCTCATCCTCTTTAACAGCCCTCCTGAAACAGCCCCTTGTAAATTCTTGCCTGACCCGAACCATCACCCTCTTATTTCTAACTGATTTATTTTCTCCACTCCTCAGGGAAGGGGGCTGTTATTCAAGCTTACTATTTGGCAAGGGGGACCGGCGAGCTAGAAGTTCTCTGCTTTTCATTTATGAGCTTTGCAGGGCTAAGAGGAGTTTGAACCATCCAAGAGAACTACTGGGCATCTGTCCAGCGGTCTGAGGGTAACCTGGGCACTAAATGGGTTTCAAGATTAGGAAACATTAGGAATAGATGGGACCTGGGTGATCACAGGGAACACCTGCCCATCCTGCAGGCGAGCTAACTAGAGTCCAGTGTTGCCGCAGCTGAGAGCTAGTTTGTAGTTAATAGCTCATTAGTAAAAGAGCTGGGTCTAGGTCTAGATCAGGTCATGATCGCTGCCCCCACCCCCCCACTGCGGAGGCTCCTACCCTTCTCCCCATCCTGCAGTACGGCAGTTTCTTGGGGTCTCTTCTGACTTTTGAAAGGTACCATCCTTCTGCAAGGACTGACTTTCTATAGCATTCTGGGAAATGTGATGCCCGGGAAGGGTGGGGAGGGGAGAGGAATTAACCTCCATTTAGAATATATCCCCCCAGACCACTCTGATGTATCAAAATACGGCTCAGGAACCATGAAAATAAAGCCTATGTTTGGTGCACCTCTAAAGAATACAAAATGGCTCTTCTTCGAACCTATTTTAAGGCAGCAACCTTTCAGCCACGTTCTGTGCGGCTCCTTCCACTCAGGGGATAGGAAGGAGATGTGAGCAGTCCCAAGATTTCAATCTATCTGGGCCAGCCAGCCCTTTGTGCAGCATGAGTATGTAGCTACTGCCTTTCTTGGAAACCTAGAGCCAAAGGCCTCAACGCCTTTTCTCCCCGCTCACTAGGGCCTTCCTCCATCTGCATTTTATTGCTCCAGAGATCGAAAGGCTGCCATGCCAGTCTGCAGAAATTCCTTGGCTCAGCAGCGCCTCTGAGTCATCCTTAGATAAGAGGAGCAAAGAGGCAGATGAGCAGGACACAAGGGGGCTTTGTCGGAGGGAAGAAGGGAAAGGGAAATGCGGCACGCCAGAGGGCCAGAGGGAGCAAAGATGCTTCTGGCAGATATTCTGTCCTCCTTTTCATTTGCTTCTGTTAATCCTTCCATTCCTGTTGTTTTCAGATCCCAGGCCCTGCCAGCCAGGAGCGCAAGGAGATTGTGCTGTGCTCTGCCTGGAACCTACCAGAACTCTGGAAATGGCCTTTCCAGTCCACCCCCGGGGAATAAACAAGGCCATGGAGATTTAAAGCATCAGTAGAGAGGACACTTCTTTATTGGAAAAGGTCTTTTTCTTTTCCAAAGGGGATAAAAGATTATAGACCGACTGGTTATTTAAGTTTATGAAAATATACAACATAGGTTGCTAATGCTTTTCTATTATTTTCAGTGATAATTGTAAATTAAGGAAAAGGCAAGAAGGCTTGAGGTTTTTTCTCCCTGAAAACGAACTATGGATTGTGTCCAGGAGCTCTCAAAAAATAGTAAATATTTCCTTGAAAAATATATCAAACAAGAGAAAGAGAAATACTTTTGTATTATCCTCTGAGCTGCTAATTGTTAAAGCAGGTTTCTCGGGCAAAATGCCCTGATTCACTGTATCCTCACAACCGGGGACCATACAAGTGAGGTAAAGTGCCTGTCAGAGATCTGTTTAGCCCAGGTGTAAGGGAAGAGATTGCTCCCCCACCCCCCACAGTCCTTCCAGCACTTACGACCAACAACAAAGGATCTCACGTTTTACATTTCTATGACCATATTTCTGGCACCCAGGGGCCCACAGTTGCACCCACCTCTCAGGCCATTTGCTGGGCCCCAGAGCTCACGGAGCTGCTGTGGGCTTTCGGCTCCCATGCACAGCACACCGCTGAGGGGGTGACTGCCCCCCTGCAAGCCACAACCTAGCTGCTAAGTGCTTCCTCCCATAGCCACTCTGTGAGCAAAACCGCCTCAGCTTCATCCTCTGCAGTGTGAGGCTATTTCTACCTTCCTTGGATTTCCTCTCTCCTGAGAGCAGAGCCTGAGTAAAGAATGGGGAGATTTATCCCTTGGACAGCATCTTCATTTCCCAGGGCTGCTGAAACAAAGGACCACAAACTGATGGCTTACAGTAACATGTATTTTCTCAGTTTCAGAGGCCGGAAGTCCAAATCAAGCTGTTGGCAGGACGGCGCTCCCTCTGAAGGTTCCAGGGGAGAATCCTTCTGTGCCTCTTCCTGGCTTCTGGTGGTTGCTCCCAACCCGTGGCAATTTCCAGCTTGTAACTCATTGCTTGCAATCTCGGCTTCTGTACTCACATGGCCTTCTTCTGTGTGTCTCTCTGCACCCTCTTCCGTCTCTCCTAAGGACACTCTCATTGGATTTAGGGCCCACCTGAACCCTGTACTTTCTCACCTCAATCCTTATCTTAATTACATTCTGACGTCCCAGGTGGACATGAAATTTTAGGGAAACATTATTCAACCCAGCTCAGGGCTCTAGGCTCCTTTCAGGTTCTTTCTTAGTTCTGAAATTACCTAATGTTGACATTGGGGGAGTGGATGCCATGGGAGGGAATAAGCTGGTGTTCAAAATACCTCCCTTGCCACTTGCTGTTATGGCTGAGTTTCCCCATGAACAATATCTAAGCCATTTGACCCAATCTTCAAGACTCAATCCTCCGAGAAATGGCAAATATCTCCGAGAGATCATTTCTCAAGCTGTGATTCTTGGGGGTGGGGGGAGGGGTGGGGAACATTAGAATCATCTGGCTGGTGGGGGTGTCTTACAAAGAAACACCTGCTCCATGGGACGCCTGGGTGGTTCAGTTGGTTAAGTGCCTTCGGCTCAGGTCATGATTCCAGGGTCCTGGGATCGAGCTCTGCATCGGGCTCCTTGCTTAGTGACGAGCATGCTTCTCCCTCTCACTGCCTACCTGTGCTCTCTCTCTCTGTGTCAAATAAATAAATAAAATCCTTAAAAAAAAAAAAAGAACACCTGCGCCGGGAATTCTGCAAGAGGTGGGCGGGAAGGTGTGCCTTGCAAAGAGGTCATTTACATAGTAAACCTCTGTCACGCTGCAAACGTTTTATCTATCTCAGGTATGCAGCTTCTGTTTCCAACCGTGGTTACCCACCTCCTGGCAATCAGTTGACCTTAGCACTTGTTTGGGAGCTGGGGGAAGGTGTGCAGGGACAAAAGAGAAGATACACCAAGGAGCAGCCCCCAAGAGGGCAAACCACTGAAATTTCACTCTTCCTCCATTTTCTAGAATAATCAGCCCCAGATGTGTAGCAAGGTTGGCAAGTCCAGGTTGGCCCCACTATTTGAAATCTGGTGTGAATTACGTAACTGAGTGGCATGCTGTGTTAGGAAGGATTCTGAGGCCGCATCTGTGCTAAGTGGGAAGAGAGCCATGAGAGAGTCACCATCTACCACAAACATTCCCAGGGACTATCAGGGCATATGTCACCCATTCGTCATCCCTGGTCTATAGCTTTTTGGGGGGACCATTTCGTAAATACGTTGCTGCCAAACATAGGGAAGAGATTTTTATGTCCTGATATAGAAATATATGAAGTCATAAAAATAAGCTATTGCTATGCTATCACTACTTTTTTATATTTCTACAGACACTTTAATGCCCAGTGTACAAATCTTGTGATTTTTGAATCAGAAATTCTTAGAGGCAAGCACGGGGTCTGTTCCTCCTCTGCAGCTGTCTGCACGCTGGGTATCAGTTGTATAACCAGGGTGACTGGGCCTGCGCCAAGCCTGAGCTCAGCATCTTGGAGTGGGGTTGGAGGAGTGAATGGGACACTGGGGATGGGAGTGCTTTCATCCTGCGGGCACCACCATGATCATACATTTCAAGCCTTGGCACCTCAGTGTCCCCATCTGTAAAATGGGAATAGCCAGTCCACCCCTCCCTTCCCCCACAGGTTGGTGTGCGGCAGGGATGGAGCACAAGGGTGGGCCCAGGACAGGCTGGTGGCGTCTTTTAGAAATTGATTTCTAAAATGTGCATCCTGCACATTCTGAGGTCAGTGCTGTGACAAATAAGAATGTTTGCAGAGGAGGGCACTGCCCAGGAAATCCAGCTCTGACGGTTAAAGAAAGCCATCTGGAAGTCTCCGGAGACCAGGGGTTCTGAAGATGCCAAGCAAGGAAATGTGACAGTCTGAAGAGTCAGCGGTGCCCCTGGGATGGTGCACAAGGCACAGTCTGCAAGAGGGGCTGCCAGGAGCTGACCTTTCCCTGCATTGGCACCACGTGCAGAAGCCCAGGACGGGCAGCCAAGGTCATGTGCCCTCACAACCAGCGCCTGAGGACATTAGAAGGAGCCTTAGACATGACTCAGTGAAATGTTCGCTTGTGAGCAAGCAGGGGGGAAAGTTGTTGTTCCAGGATCCCAAAGCTAATTAGTGGCTGAACGGAGACGAGAACCTCACTTTGCAGATGCCAGGAAGAAGAGAATTTGTAGGATGCTGGAGGGAAGGCCCAGAAGGAGCCCCATATTGCCTGTGACCAGCTGGCCTTGACCCTAGTGGGATGCAGTTGGACCCTGATACCTGTGGGCCCCTTCCCAGGTAAGGGGGTTGTAGCTTGAGTGGGAGAAAATCATCCTGTGGGATTTCAGTTTTTAAATGTTTAATCCCATATAATGAAACCAGCTTGACAGCAAGAAGTTACAGGGTTGTAAGAGCAGAAGGGGATATTCCTGAGATCTGAACCCCAGCGTCGAGGCAGTGAAATTTCTATGTAAAGGTTGTGGGTTAAAAGGTGGGCAGTGGGAGCACTCTGCATGGTGCAGGAAGAAGAAGGGGGCATTGTCTGCAGAGAATTTTAAAACGCTGATCAAACCATCTACAAGTTGGTCTGCTTTTCACTATCACCATGCCCTGGTAATTCTAAATAACATTAGTGATATAGTATTCGGGTCTGAATATTTTTAAGCCTAAATTAGAACATTTGTATTCTTTATCCTTTACAAAATACTGTATTCTATATGGGAGTTAACTTGGTACATGGCTTTGTTTCCAAACAGTGCATGAGGAGTAGACAATGGGAGCCCTTATAGACAGAGGCACGGACTTGAGTGACTTCAATCCTGTTGTTGTATGGAAACATACAAAAATATTTGCAAACTGGCAGAATCCACCTTGAACAAGGCACACAACACTTTAAAATGATTCCTCGAGATCACGGCAAAGGAACTGTGGAGAGGACTATTACTTCTGCAAAAAAGAAAAAAAAAGTGAGGAAATAGAAAAAAGAATCAAATGTAAGGAAGAAATGTTAGGAGAAATGAGCAAAAGTGCCAGTCTGACATTGCCTGGTGAAATTAACAGGGCAGGGTTTGAGGCCTGAGTCACTTTCTCCAGGAACTGGACAAGAACCCAACGGCTCAGGGAAGTCCCTATTTGCTGTCAGTCAGACACTTTCTCTGATTTTTGCACATGTGAAACTTGAGAACCAAATACAATAAAAATCTGTGATGAATTTGCCGGGGATGGGTTTTTGGCAAAAAATTTTCAGCTGTGAGGACATTTGAAAGCTGCTAGAATCGGTCCTGAAGAAACAAAGATGTGAACTATCTTGCCCTTTCTGGAATTCGCTGTGACATGGGATTGGTATGGGTCTCTGCCAAATTTATCCTTATGCTTCAGACTTTCCTTAACTACTTGTATGTCTCTTGTTACAGGTAAAAGTAAACTTCACAGTATATCAACTATACTTCAATTTTAAAAGGAGAGAAAACTTTAAAAATTAAAATGAATGAAAAATATTCCTCAATGAACTATGAGACACACTGACAAATCTGGCTATGCTGCCTATTGAATGGGACTATTCAGGATCGATTTTGATGAAATCACTGACAAATTTGCAGAAGTCTCAAAGACAAAAACTGTAATGTTCTATCTGTTCCCAACATACAGGCAAAAAGGTTCTCCCTTTTCTTAAAAAAAAAAAAAAAAGTAATTTAAAAGTATTTACTCCTGGGGCTCCAGGATGGCTCAGTTGGTTGGGCGGCTGCCTTCGGCTCAGGTTGTGATCCCAGGGTGCTGGGATCGAGCCCCACGTCGGGCTCCCTGCTCGGCGGGAGGCCTGCTTCTCCCTCTCCCGCTCCCCCGGCTTGTGTTCCCTCTCTCGCTATCTCTCTGTCAAATAAATAAAATAAATCTTTAAAAAATAAATAAATAAAAATAAAAGTATTTACTCCTTCCCCTTAAAAATGTACTATTTATTTACTAATTGATTCATGTATGTATTTAAGTGCCATGATCATGTATGTGAAGTATAATAAAAGAAAAAATTCATTCTCTGCATATCTTTCCCTGCCATTTTTGATTTTCCTTTAATTTCATGAGAAATTAACTGTGTGCTATGGTAGGGGAGTTGTTAAAAAGAATCCAGTTGGTGTGAAGTGGTCCAGGCCACTGCTGGAGAAGGTACAGCATTCTGGAGTTTCCACCTGTCAAAGGTGACATTGACTCTCAGCATAACAGTACATAATTTGGTAGTAACAACAGCACCAGCATTGATACTTCACATTTCTCCAGTTACTTGATTGGACAGCAGGTACTTGGTACTTGTATCTGCCGCTCTTACTTGGCGGCCCCAAGGGGGAGTTTGCTGAGTCCTGTTGGACGCAGGTACCTTGATTCTGGGGGGGGGGAACTGTCAGCTTCTACTCAGGTTCTCCTCTTTCAACCCAAGGCCAGCCTGAGGAATTTCCTCAGGACTGGGAAGCCTGCAGCCTTCCTCTGTTCTCTTCTCCCTCAGAAATGAATTCTTCTGCTCCCTTTCCCCGGCTCCTTCCCAAATTCTCACCCACTGAAGCCTGTGTGATACAGTGCGGAGAGCAAGGTCCTGGGGAGGGGTGTAAAGTAGATCTTATTTTGATCATCCTGGCTATGCCAATTACTGGCTGTCTGATCTTGGGCATTTCAATCTCTGAGCCCTGGTGGTTTTTTTTATCAGTAAGATGGGGATAATAGCAAATTATGAAAGTTAAATGAGTCAGCACATGAAATGGACTCATGACAGTGTCTGCTCTGTAGGCATCAAAGCTATGGACTCTAGTGACGGATGGTCTAATGACAGAATGTTCGGCCTCAGCCAACAGTGGAATTGGGAGGAGTTTTAGGGGCAACCAGTTGCCTCTTTTGAAACACCTACTCTGCATTGTCTTAAAGAATCTAACAATTGGTAGATGGCTTTGGCCTTCCCACTGGGCACCCACACTGAACTCTAATGAGAGTCTCATCTCGGGGCCCACTCTCAAACAGTTGCACTGAGAAGGATTGTGAGGCTTTATCCCTGCCCCACGAGAACAAAGGCTGAGATTGAGTAGCAGCCCCTGCTATGGAAGAGGGAGCCGAGAATGCTGGCAAACGGAGCTCCATATTTGCCATTCCTGTGTTTGCCTCCCAGCTGTCAAAGCCAAGCGCGTATCCCACATCCTAAGGCTCTGTGTTTGACGAAGGAGTAGAACAAAGTCCGGATATTTCAGCAAGCAAATATACATTTGGCTTGTTTGAATTCAGATGATGTTTTCCAGGGTCATAATCTGAGAGGTGGGCCGAGGCCCAATCTTAAAGAGCCACTTGGCAACTCTAACAACTGGCAAAAGAAGAAAGAAATGGATAAATAAAGTTTTAAAAATATGCCAAATGCCAAGCACTTTGTATTTTGTTTCTAATGTTTTGTTTATGGATATTTGCTGCTATTTTTCAGGAATTCCAGTAGCAAGTACCCAACTATTACAAACCTCCATCTGTTCCTGAGGAGGGCCTTTGGAAACACATTTCCAACAACCTCGTGAGAGTGAAGAGCAGAGGTGTCCTTTGGGGTGATGTCAGGGACACCAGAAGATGCCTGCCTTCCAAAACCCTTCCACCACCTTCTGGGTGGTGAATAAATGAGGAAAAATCTTGTCTAGAGAGAGAGCATTTACAAACGTCTGTTGACTTAAAGTTACTGATAATCGTTTTTTTTTCCCAAGATTAAGTTTTGATGGAGGAAAAAAAGGGAAGAAAGACGGGGGGCCCGTAACCTTGCTGGGAGAGGAAAGAAGGAAATTCGGGAGAAGAACAGGAAGGTACTGTTTCAGGTTCTTCTACGTCAGGGTCCCAGGGACGGCTCAGAATGGGTACCTGCCGCTGAGCCTCCGGTGCCCAGGTCATTTGGGGGAAGTCGGCACACCTGGCTTTGTCTTTCTGGCTCCTTCCTCAGAGTCATTCAGCTGGCAAGTTGGAGGGCAGCAGGGAGCGCTGTGCTATTTCCCCACTGTTCATAAACCAGTAATCAACGTTGACGCTGGTGGAGGTGAAGAGAATAGGATTCACTCCGGTTGCACTGTGGCAAGAATCTATCCTAGAAAATAAAATCTTTAAAAAAAAAAAAGAGCCCCGCATTGGGCTCCCTGCTCGGCGGGAGGTCCGCTTCTCCCTCTCCCGCTCCCCCTGCTTGTTGTCCCTCTCTCGCGGTGTCTCTCTCTGTCAAATAAATAAATAAAATCTTTAAAAAAAAAAAAAAAGAATCTATCCTAGAGTATTCAGCAGCTTTGCTTTGGTGATTCATGTGTAAGAATTATGTCAATCCCTTGTGTTTGTAGGGCTCCTCTATCCTCCCGAGTTGTGAGAAGAGCAGTGGGAAGAGAAGGAGAAAGTTGTTTCTTGAGGACCTGCCATATGCCAAGCCCTTTGCTAGTGTTTAGTGTTTTATTTCCAAGCCTCAGTGCAATACCACAAGGAAAGAACTAATTTTTCCAACTCACAGTTGAGGAAATTGAGGATGAGGAGGATGTCCTGAAGCTGGTGTTCAAAAGAACCTTTGTCACTTAGTAAAAGCAGTCTTCTGTGGCCAATGCAAAGGCGAAGCCCTTTTCAAGGTATACAGTGATGGCAGCCAAAGAGCTCTTCCTGGTTTTATTACTCTTTATTTAGTCCCTTTTGTTTTTATGTGGTGGCCGGCTATGCTCCCATGTTGAAATACTTACAGTGATCTTTATGGGAGAAGCCTGTTCAGGTTCCTTTTCTCGTCCAACTAGAAAAGCACTTAACTCTGTCATGTCAATCCATCCCATCCTCTCAGCTGGTCACTCTGAGTGTTCCAGAAGGTTGTTAACAGGCACAGAGCGACCCCTCTGTCTAGCCAGGGCCCGGTGGCACCGCTGATGAGATGCTGGCCATGCCTTCTCTGCCCGCCCCGACCACCCCCGGGGCAGGCACTCGGCTAACCTGGTTGGGTGTTGCCTCCTGGATTAAGCCCCAGCGCCCTGACAGCCTCCTTTCACTTGTTTCCATCTGAACTTGGGGTTTGCTTGTGTTGATTCTGAGCCCTTCCAGGGCGGGGAGGTGGGATAGATGAGACTGTTAATGACGGAAGCAGTCAGAGGTTCTGTCCAACACGAAGATTAAGTCAAACGTTTGAGGGGAAGTACAGTCGTCTTCTAAATCTGCGCGAGAGCAGTTCAGGTCTGCCCTCCGGAGATCTCATTCATTCCGGAATTGCTCCCGAAACTGCCCGTACTGACCGGGGAAGTCAAGGCCTAACCTTCAGCAGAGCTCCATCTAGCGGAATTGCTTTCAATTGCACGCTTTATGCTGCCAAGGGAGTCCCTTTTGCGTAAGGGGTCTGGCCTGGGCTTATTTTAGGCTCTGTGTCAGCGGATGATTGGGCATTTGCTAAGTCAAAATAAGCCGTGTTAACATATCGTGGATGTAAGCAGGGCGTGTGTTAATTGAGTGAGGCTATTTCAAAGCCTGAGAGCTTGAGTTGCACTTACCCTTGACTCGGGGGTGGGGGGTGTGGGGGAATAGAGTGGATCTCTTATACTGGGATGGAGTCCCTGGCTGCTGGGGTAGTGGTGGGGAAGGAGAGGAGAGAACAAGGCACATGTCCTGGGAATGTTCCTATAAGATCAGGCATGGGCAGATTAACTGAGCGTTGTCCTCACGAACACAGAGGCGGACAGATGAGCTGGCATCCCAGGCTCCCGAAGCTGGCTCTCAGCCATCCAGAGGGAAAATCCTGTCTCTCCCCCACCCCGCCAGGCTGGCATTGTCAAAAGGGCCTAAATGTTTAAATTCTTTCTGCATCGCCTGTTGCCCAATGTGTTCCGAACACAAATGATTTCTGTCTTTTCATCCCTTTCCTTTAGAGGCAGCTTGCTATAATTTTGTAGGGTTAGAATTTCAGGGAATTAACTGCTCAGATAAACTCCCACCACCCAGCCACCCTGGAACTCTGTGAGGAACAGTGTATTCGTTTCCTAGGGCTGCCTAAATAAAGTACCACAAACTGGTGGCTTAAAGCAACAAATTTATCCTCTCCTGGTTCTGGAGGCTGGAACTCCAGGATCCAGGCGTCAGCAGAGCGCTGCTCTCTGAAGGTGCTAGGAAAGAATCTGTGCCTCTCTCCCAGCTTCTTCCGGTGTTTCTGGCCATCCCTGGCCTTCCTTAGCTTGTAGACCTGTCACACGAGCCTCTCCTTGCAGCACTCCATGGTGATTTCCCAACCCCTTCCCTCCGTGTGCACCTGAGTCTTCACGTTCTACTCTGTGTGCGTTTCCTCTGCTCTTCTTATGAAGACACCAGTCCTGTTGGATCAGGGGCTCAGCCTCCTCCAGTGTGGCCTTATCTTTACTTCCATCTTGATTCCATCTTGCAAAGATACTATTTGCAGAGGTCACTTTCACAGGTACTGGTGGTTAGGACTTTAATCTAGCTTTTTAGGGACACATTCAACCCACGAGAAATAGGAAGGGACAACAGCAGGCAGAAACCACAAGACCAACACCAGTTTTGAGGGTGGGGGAGCATGGAGGCAGGGGCTCCCCAGTGTGGCCAGTGGTTGTTTTCTTGAGTTCCCACATTCTTACCCCTTCAGACTTCCGTTACAGGAGGCTACATATGCAACTCCAGACAAGACCCCAATATCACATACTATTATTAAGACAAGATTAGAAATATATCTTAAACACATGCCCTTTATTTTTGGTGGATGTGTTTAACACTGTGCATTTCCACTGAAAGAGTCAACCAGAAATATGTAGAAACTTTCTTCTCATTTTATTTAGGATTCCTTCTTTTTCTTTTTTAAAGATTTATTTACTTATTTTAGAGAGAGAGAGCAACGGGGAGAGGGAGAGGGAGAATCCCAAGCAGACTCCCCATTGAGCGTGGAGTCCAACGTGGGGCTGGGTCCCATGACCCTGAGATTATGACCTGAACCAAAACCAAGAGTCAGATGCTTGATCAACTGTGCCACCCAGGTGTCCCTCTAGGATTCTTTCTTATCTGCTACATTACCTATTTG